TTGACCTATATGCCGTTCACTTTTGCCAAACGGAGTCGACCGATTGTTCAATGACTTCATTTACGCAGATTGATCTCGGATTAACCGGTGTAACTCATTCATTAAAAAAACCTGAGATTGGTGTATCAAGAATGGAACTGCTTATTGTCCGGTATAGACGTGCATATACCGTGCGAGTGGTACCACCTGAAGTGTGTTGGCCTCAAAATTTTACCTAAGGCTAAATACTGGATATGCAGGAAGTGCCACCAAAATAAATAGCTTAAAGAATTGTAAATATGTATAAATGTGCTTTCAATGTATCATACTTTGATCCATATTTTTTTTATTCAGTCATATCAATTTGTTCAGATATCACAAACTAGTCAAAACATTTACCAAATTTTATCATCGGTACAAGGACATCATTCGTAAATATAAATCAACATGCAGACATCTTATACGTTCACGTATTTCACATCCAATATTGTATGGTAATGTTCTTTACAAAGCACAAAAATGTCGGCATTCACCTCAAAAGCTAACCAAACCGTTAAACAGACTTATTCGGAAAGGATATAGTTACGATACTGTTGTCAAGTCATTAAGGATTGCATATTTTGGTATTAATATTGATTCACTCATAGGGTCTTTGCATCGGAAATACACACATTTATTCTAAAACCAGTTGTTGGCATGATACGGGTTATGTTCTTCTCATATATTTTATGATGGTATGATACTAAAACCCTAACGGGAGGGATTGTACTTGATTTTCATATCATCAGTGATGAAGACATAATCTTTCAATCAGTTTAATTGAGGTTTGGAGCTGGCATGTCAGTAACTGCTAGTAGTCCTTTGTTCATTTATATATTATTGTCATTTTGCTTAGTTTCTTTTGTTGCCTATTCTGACATCGGACTCGGACTTCTTTTAAACTGAGTTTTACTGTGCGTATTGCTATGTGTTTCTTTAATCTACATTGGCTAGAGGTATCGGGGGAGGGTTGAGATCTCACAAACATGTTTAACCCCGCCGCATTTTTGCGCCTGTCCCAAGTCAGGAGCCTCTGGCCTTTGTTAGTCTTGTATATATGTTTTTTTAATTTTAGTTCATTTATATGTTTTGGAGTTAAGTGTGACGTCCATTTTCACTGAACTAGTACACAATTTTATTTAGGGGCGGCAGCTGAGGACCACCTCCGGGCGCGGGATTTTCTCGCTGTGTTGAAGACCCATTGGTGGCCTTCGGCTGTTGTCTGCTCTTTGGTCGGGTTGTTGTCTCTTTGACATATTCCCCATTTCCATTCTCTATTTTATGTAAAACAATTACACTATATACGGGACAATGACAAGAAGACAGTATACAAAGTATCCCGATGCTACACACGTACAGAAAAGACATAATTTGTTTGTAAATGTAAAATTTTACAGGTAACAATCATGATAAAAATAACTACAGGTAACAATCATGATAAAAATAACTACAGGTAACAATAAAAAATAAAATTATTGTAACCTGCAATTTCCGTACGATATCGGGTTCCTGTCCGGAGACACATTTCGGCAATTTAATAGTCCAGGAAGTAAATTATTTCTTATAGGTAAGCTGGTCCTCGACTGACTACTACATTTTGTTCATAGACTATGAACAAAGACATTATTCTTATTCAGATAAGTTAGTACATTATTATGTCTCCGATTTAAATTATTTATGTATAATATCAGAGACATATAATGCATATTGTATTATATGTCTCTGATAATATGTACCCGCTATAAATTTTGAATAACTAAATTTTATTTATTGATGTAAACACAAATAAACCTTATACGGACTTATTAGTTTATTCTTATACTAATCTGTACCGAATCGTCGATGCATTGTTAAATGTTCATTATTTATACCATTTGTCACCGTGGTGTTCCTAGCAAATGGAGGAATATACAGGACTACATACAGAACGTTTCCGGTTTGTATCGAATATTAGTATTTTATGATCAGCCGCATCAACCAGAGAGAACTGATCAGAACTGAACTCGAAGTTATAAAATCACATGTAAATTACCTCTATCCTTTAGTTTTACTACTTCACCTTCAAGCAAAATCATTTCGTTCAAAAAAGATACATGGAAAAGAATTGAAAGTGTTTTCTAATGCTTTTTTGACTGATATATGGGTGAAAAAAGAATCGGTAGGATGGAGAAATTTCCCGCCAAAATTATTGGTCCAGCGGTGTTCAGGTTTGTCTGTCCTCGGGAGTAAATTTTGCGAGATAAATGTGGCCAAATTTGTTAATTCCTTCTGATGAAAACATTAATTTTGTTATCAGAACCCTATATATATTGAGGTAACATTGAAATGCAGCAATTTGCTTGAAGACAAAGTCAAAGGTTCTGAAAGTGAAACTGAAATCCTTGTACAAATTTACGAACATCACCATCCTGGGATTCTAAATTTCGCGGATTTGGGATTCTCTGGGATTTACATCGTACGTAATGAATTCCCAAATTTTTAAATCCATGGCATTTAACTTTTAAGATAAAATTGTTCAAATTATCACAAAGATATTTTATACCCATATCTAATATTCGACCTTTTCAACAACTCTCGACACCGACTAATGACACCTACAGTTATAATACAGGTAAAATTAAGGGGTTGTCTCAAAATTAAAAATCATTCATGAATTGTATTGCGTTTACACCTGCAATTTGTTGATTTTACACTAAAGACTAAAGAACATATTTCCAACAAATATGAATTACAAATGTATAAGGATCTCTTGTGTATAACATTCTAATTACATGTATTTAAACGACATTTTACTTTAGATTTTTTAATGTTCAAGTAAATAATTACTGCAATCATGTCACATCGTAATCTGCCTTTTTTCCTCTTAAATTTTAGGATTATGTGAGAATTTATAGATAAACGAGTCAGTCAACGCAGATTGTTCCACATGCCAATAACGATTACTTCGTTTTTGTAATGCTAACAGTGCATTCATTAAGACCCAGTACCCGGTACTTTTACCCACCTACGGAAGCGTCTGGTACCGGCAGAAAAAATAAAAATAAAAAAAAAAATGTGTAAAATTCTTTTGAAGATCGTTCAAATCTAATTTCTTTCTTTCCTTGATAATCTCCGTTCTACGCCGTTCATGTGTATGTTTATAGGTGTCTTCGTCGAGGTCCGCGTTAAAGTATAGATCTATCTTCTGCCAATTTAGGCACACCTCCAAAGTAGGAGAAGTGATAATTATAAACCATGTGTCTGAATCTGTATCGTAAGAGCGTTTTAAAATGCGACGATTTAGCAGTATATTTTCAAGCAGCAAATTGTTGATGAATTTAAACAACAACAGCAATATTATGTCTAATAAAAGGAAAGCAGCTTGTATCACAGATTATTTTATGAATAAAAGGTTTAATAAAGGTGAACATTCTATGAAATTCAGAAAATCGTTAATCGTATCAAATCAGTGATTTCCCGTTGGACGTTGTCACTGATCTCTGTTTCTCGATATGTGTTCTATGTTGTGATTGAAATTTTTAGTGTAAGACTTCGTGAAACAATTAATATCTGACGAGATTTAAGACTTCTAAAATAAAAAAAAAAGACAGCTCTGAAGAAGTGAAAAAAACATTTTTACTTACTATAGTCAAGAATCCTATGATTAATTTGCCAACACACCCCCCCCCCCCCCCCCCCTTTTTCACAATCACACAAACAATTGACACAGTTATGATTATAACAAAGCAATAAAAAAAAGTTACAACAAGTTTTATTATCATTTTTTTTTAATAAATTATAATATACTATGTAACTTATGAAATTTCATTCACAAAATTGAACCCCAAATGCAAAACATTTAATAAAAGTATAAAAACAAACAAAACATTTTAACAACATTTCACATGAAACCCCTGCATTATAGGTCATACCATGGAAGTATTATATTGACAATATAATACTTCCATGGTCATACATATTTTATAACTGATTACAAAATAATTATAAGCAATGTATTTTCAGATGATTACTCTAGAAAAAAAACAATTCAATGTTAACTTACCCAAAATTGAAGCAAATATTACAGACTTTACCCTATTTTTTTAAGTAAAAAATTATTGCTGAAATCCCTAAAATCCAGGAGCTTTCGGGGGGCTTTCCCCAGACCCCTCGCCATTTGGGTTTGGTTCCCCCTATAATCTCAAAGGCACCTCAAGTCTAAAAAAATAATGAAACCCCTGGGTACACCAAAAAATGTCATGTTGAATAGTTGTCTCATTGGCAATCAAAATAATCATATGCGATCAATAATATTTTTTTAAATTTTACTTTTGAGACGACCCCTCATATCTCATCTGTCGTAGTCGTTCTCTACTGTAGGTGTAGACAATAGTTGAAAAGGTCTAATAATAGACAATATTTATTAGCACAAACACATTTACATTAAACGGTTTAGGCATGATTATAAAGTATAGACATAAACAGACAATTGTACTGGTACGGTACCAGTTACCATGGTTACCATCAGAAATTCACAATTTTTGAACACATTATTTTCCGTTTGGACATTTTTTTGTAACATACATGTATAAGAATTTTGAAAAAAATAAAAGTCTAGTATGAAAATAGTCTTGAATTATGCAATTTTACTGAAAGGAAACTTAAGTGTTTGCTTAAATTTTTCCCAATTGATTTGATTGTAGTCCCAAAACTGGTCGCCGTACAAGATACTGGGAAACTCTAGAATATAATATCAAGGATTTGTATAGTAAGACTTTGTCTGACTGAATTATTTAGGAAATTCAGAAAAAAAAATGAGGTTAATGTAGTAGTAAGATATGATGAGTCCTTTGGAATGGTAAACATTTTCTGTTTTTCAAATTGAATTTTCAATAAAAATTGGACCTTTTAAGAATAAAGTAGGACCTTTCTGTATTTTTGGTCAAAGGTCCTTAAAAAATGATGTCATGCCCCCGCAAGCACATCTTCCCATAACACTTCCCATAACGTGTTAAAAAAGTGAAAACTCAGCTTTTTTTTATGGTCTTAATCTGATCTGATCAATCAAAACGAAGTTTCTAAAAATTATATGAAAGTTATTGTGTGCAGTTAAAAGCAGTATGCCATATTTACGAAAAGTCTCTGTTATTGCTAAAAATGCCAGGTGACGGTAACTAGTCATCAACCAGTACAGTAAAAAAAAAAAGAGGGTGACAGTGGCTTTCAAATGAGAATTAATATAAATTTATATGAAAATAAATGACTACAAATATTAGAGTAAGCTTAAACATGTCCATTGATTGTGTTTGAGTAAGCATGAACATTTAAGATTGGTACCGTAGGGAGACTGGGAACATAACCACATTTTTTGGCCTTGTCATACATCATGTACATGTGTAAGTTTAAATTTAAGGTTGTAAAGATTAATGTAAGTTTAAGAGTAATATTTTAAAGCCTTTATCTTTGCCTCATTTCAGCGAAGAAAAACATCATGTAAATATAATGTAAGAAATCAGCAGTTGATGGTTCCAGTTGCCTCAATAGTTCTTAAGATTTGGTGTTCAGATATTTAAACTTAATGGATACATACAAGGCTGGTTTGATGGTATCTCAAGAATAATGGTATCTTCCTTATACAGCTTGGCGATACATAAAGTGGGGCAGTATGTTGGATGTGCCTCCTTAGAAACTGTCAACCCACCGTTTGATGAACAGACACTTAAGCTGGTAGATATAAATAATTTTTTTTTAGTTTATTTCAAATGTAATCAAATTCATAGTTTTTATACTGTAAATGCGAGATTCTCAAGAAGGAATAATTTATTTGCTTTATTTAAATTGCCATGAAAAGCTTCCCTATGAGAACATGTACAATATCTGCTTTAAAGAATAAGAAAAAAATCAGCAACTAGTAAGGATGATATGACAGTGCAAAAATCATCACTTTATATTAAGATGCAAAATGATATACTCGATTGGTCGTACTTTAAATTACATGGATTAAGTGGGCAGTCACTTCCTATGTGACTATACTTTATAAAATTATACCCATGCTCAGAAGCTGAGTAAATACTGTTAACCAACTTATTTTCAGGAATTTTTTGTTTCAAGTTTGCTTTTTACCTCATTCAAGCCAACTTCATGGTGATTACTTCTTTTCGGTAAATGGACAGAAAGTCACAGGACAGAAAGTCACAAATTTGATAGGACTAAAAGTTACAAATAATTTGTTTAAAATTGTTTGAATTTATAAGAAAAAAATTTCTTGAAATAAATTTTTTTTTATTCATGTTTATTACATATTTTCATTTAACAGTTAAGGAAGTTGTTCATAAGCCTTGATGAATGAAGATTTATCAAGTTTTGAACATGCAAAATATATATTTCATGACACCATAAAGCCATTTAAGTACCAAGCCACTTTGACAAACTGTTTTCTTAACAATTATATTATCATTATTGAATTTTTATAATAAATAATGTTTACAAAGTTGCTATACATAATAATTCAAAAAAATACAATACATGTTCCAGGGGGGGGGGGGGTGGTGGTTGTAGCGTTAGCTAACTTCTTAAAAGCTTTATATTTTAGAAGCTAGAAGACCTGGATGCTTCATACTTTGTATATAGATGCCTTATGTTAATAAGTTTCCGTCTGTCATATGTCCATTGCCCATTGCCCTTGACCTCATTTTCATTGTTCAGTGACTACTTGAAAAAAAAGTCAACATTTTTTGTAATGTTAATTCCTTTCTTATTAGGAGTAATAGGATAACTATATTTAGTATGTGCGTACCTTGCAAGGTCCTCATGCCCGTCAGACAATTTTCATTTGACCTCGACCTCATTTCATGGATCAGTGAACAAGGTTAAGTTTTCGTGGTCAAGTCCATAGATCAGATACTATAAGCAGTAGGTCTACTATATTTGGTATATGGAATGATTGTAAGGTGTACATGTCCAACTGGTAGGTGTCATCTGACCTTGACCTCATTTTCATGGTTTAGTGGTCAAAGTTAAGTTTTTGAGTTTTGGTCTTTTTTTCTAATACTATATGCAATAGGTCAACTATAAATGGTGTATGAAAATATTTTATGATGTACATGTCAGTCTCACAGGTTTTATTTGACCTTGACCTCATTTTCATGGTTCATTTCTCAGTGTTAAGTTTTTGTGTTTTGGTCTGTTTTTCTTCAACTATAAGCAATAGATCAACTATATTTGATGTATGGAAGGATTTTAAGGTGTATATGTCTGTCTGGCAGGTATCATCTGACCTTGACATCATTTTCATGGTTCATTGGTCAATGTTAAGTTTTCATGGTTAAGTTTGTTTCTTAGATACTATAAGCAATAGGTCAACTATATTTAATGCCTAAATTGATTGTAAGGTGTACATGTCTGTCTGGCATGGTTCATCTGACCTTGACCTCATTTTCATGGTTCATTGGTCAATGTTAAGTTTTCTTGTTTAAGACTATTTCTTAGAAACAATAAGCAATAGGTCAACTATGTTTGGTTTATTGAATGATTGTAAGGTGTACATGTATTTCTCGTTTGGTTTATCTGACCTTGACCTAATTTTCTTGGATCATGTTAAGTTTATGTGTTACTTGTAGTAAAGCTTTGTGTTTAGGACTATCAACATAAAATCAATGGTTAGTAAAGAAGGCGAGACATTTCAGCGTGTGCACTCTTGTCTTTATCTATTTATATAAGGTAAGACACAAGTGAAACAAATTAGCGATGATTTATATTTGTTTCAGACCATATGAGTATTTGGACCATACTCATGGGTATTTAAACGTGCATTAGGTATCACCCTCCGAGGTGCCATAAATTAACAGTTTCTATAAATGTGACTAATTTAATCAAGAGGTAATCATTGTGAAATTTATATTTTATTAAAAGAATTTTACTTGGTCATTATCAAGTTTTTCTTGCGAAACACTATACATAGACTTCGACTTTGGAATATAACTTCAAGAAATATCTAAATGAACTGTTAAACAAGAAGTCAACGGTTAGACACAGACACTTGGGGCATTGCATCTTTTTTGTGTGTGTGTTTTAATTTGTTTTTAGTCAATTTAAATTTCTTAGATATTTGATAATAATAATGATAATGTTTATTCAGGTAATGGCAATATATACAAATACATAATAAGTTTTAGAAACTTAGTTAAATACAACCTTAAAATATATATAGCAATGCTTGTGACTTTTAAATTATTTTTAGTTATTTTATGTGTGCAGGCTTTTGTTCACACGTTTTTACAATCACAGTAGATTATACTTGCTGTCCCTATATTTGTATATGCGTATGGTCCAAATACTCATATGATCCAGAACATGTTCATGTTATTATGCCCCCGCCGTAGCGGAGGGGGCATTAAGTTTTACCCTTGTCTGTCTGTACATCCGTTCGTGTGTACACCTGTACGTCAGTACGTCCCGAAATTGGTTTCTGTTCTCTAACTTTAGTTTGCCTTATTCAAATGTTATGAAACTTATACATAATGCTTATTACCACAAAACACAGATCAATAGATATAAGAAGATGTGGTATGAGTGCCAATGAGACAACTCTCCATACAAGTCAAAATTTATAAAAGTAAACCATTATAGGTCACAGTATGGTCTTCAACACGGAGCCTTGGCTCACACTGAACAGTAAGCTATAAAGGGCCCCAAAAATTACTAGTGTAAAACCATTCAAACTGGAAAACCAAATTTGAATTAGGGTGGTGTCACTTTTACCTTTCTAGAGTTATGCCCCTTTACAAATGGAAAAATTGCTGAATTTATCGTTTCCGTTCTCTAACTTAAGTTTGCCTTAACCAAATGTAATGAATCTCATACACAATGCTTATTACCACAAAACACAGGTCAGTTTGAATTTTACTGGCGTCGCTTTTACCCTTCTAGAGTTGTGCCCCTTTACAAATGGAAAAAAAATCAGAATTTTTCGTTTCCGTTCTCTAGCTTAAGTTTGCCTTAACCAAATATTATGAAACTTATACACAATGCTTATTACCACAAAACTCAGATCAAGTACCAATTTGGGTAGCGTCACTTTTACCGTTCTTAAATTATGCAAGCTGGGGCATCATCATGGGACACATTTCCCATTTATTTTTTTAATTGCAAAAGCCACTGAGAAATAATTTGCTTACTAAAATAAGTTAGTTTTCAGTGTTACTAAATAATAGTTTTCAGTGTTACGAAATAATCCATGCTGCTTTGGAGTTTTTTTTACATATTACTTAGCTCATGGATAGTTGGGTATAATATTGAGATCTGGTGGACAGTAGTAAATAAAAAAAAGAAAAATTGTTAAAGAACAAACAACTAAAAATCCAAAGGAATGAAATACAAAATCAATCCAGATACACAATATGACCATGTTTGAAAACATTGATGTACAACAAAGCATTGAGAAAAAAAAGCATAATCTGGACAAGGGTCTGCAAGGGGTCAGTAGGAAAAAACTTATATGGATTCTAAAATTATTGGATTAAATGTCTTCGATTGTTTCAGTGATTGTTGATTTTCTTATTTAAAGTTAGCGAGTGAAGCATTTCCCAAAGATGAGGAACATGTAAAGTTACTTACCGAACTTGTCAGTAGCAAAAACTGTAATTCAGAATGGGAAAAAGGTGAATCCTTTTTTCAGAAAGGACATGTACAAAACATCAGACAAGTAGGTAAGTAATGTAGAAATACTGATTTTTATATTTTATAATCTTTTTAGCTCGCTCAGTTTGGGGTTCTATTGCTAATACCTTGGCTTATTTTAACCATACTTTTACTGAAATATCAAGTCATTTATAAGCAGATTAAAAATGTACAGAAGACCTGAATACCAAGCAATATTGATGCAATAAGATAAACAAAATGGAAAAGTAAAACACATAACTATCATGTCAAACCCATTGTCAGGTAAACAATTTCAATCTGTTAGGTCTGATGAAAGTTTTGTTTTTAAATCCGAAACGAACAGTGCCAAAGTTGACATGTGAATAATTCGATACACTCTGGTTTCTACCTCTACAAAGTGAAGATGTAAAAACCCGAATGGATCGAACTTATTTGATTAAACTGATGGCCCAACATGTCCAATGCTAATTAACAAGTGATAATAGTTTGATAGAACAATCAACAGGTGATCGAATATTAGTTACTCGATACAGCTTCTGTTTATGGCACATGCCAAGGATGATTAAAGGTAAATACCGGCATTAATAGAAAAGTGGAATGTTGTCAAAGCATCTTCATCGATCGGAAGGTTTTGATGCGGAAAAAACATTTAATGAACTTTCAACTCAGCAATGAAATACTATTTCACACTCCAATGCAGACATTAAAGGACCTTCAGCATGATAGAGAAGCAGACGTCGTAGGAAGGTGTCACAGAAAAAAAAATTAAAATAGCCTTTCAAGACGTCATAATTATTTGGATTACCTCCTCAGTGTTTAGATTATCAACCCCACAAACTGTTACAAGAATCAGGATTACTTTGGCAGGTTGGGGAGGATCCTCATAAATGGGTTAAGCCATTTTCAACTGATTTTGATAGTTTGTTCTTATGTTGTGCTGTAACGTCATTGTCCCAGGTTAGGGGAGGGTTGAGCGCTCACAAACACATTAAACCCCGCCACATTCTTTATGTGCCTGTCCCTAGTCAGGAGCCTGTAGTTCAGTGGTTATCATTGGTTCATGTCGGTCATACTTGTTTTTCGTAAATTGATTTCTTTTAAATCAGACCGTTAGTTATCTCAATTGAATTGTTTCATATTTTTCATGTCAGGGCCTTTTATAGCCGACTATACAGTATTGGTTTTTATACGACCGCAAAAAGTGCGGTCGTATATTGGTTTCACGTTGTTGTCCGCAACGTCCGAAGACATTTGGTTTCCGGACAATAACTATAGTATTAGTAAATAGAAATCTATGAAATTTAAACACAAGGTTTATAACCACAAAAGGAAGGGTGGGATAGATTTTGGGGGTTATGGTCCCAACAGTATAGGAATTAGGGGCCAAAAAGGGGCCCAAATAAGCATTTTTCTAGTTTCCAGACAATAACTTGAGGAACATTGTATGGATCTCTCTGAAATTATACCACAAGTTTCCATACCTCAAAGGGATGGTTAGGATTGGCTTTGGGGTGTTATTGCTCAAACCGTTTAGGAATTAGGGGCAAAAAAGTGAGAAAAACATGGGTGTCCTGGTGAATGGACAATTACTTAAGTACAATGTTGTGTTTGAATTACCTCCCTTACACTGCTTTTGAATTATGTATAAAGAAATGTTGCATTGTCTTGAGGTGATTAGCTGTCAATTTATTTTTAGAAGTTACTATTTTAATAATTTTAAAAATGCTGATTAAGGTATATTTATTTTAGCCATGATTATGTATGTCATTTTCTATTTTAAGACTTTTATGATGTATTTAAATGGGTTATTATGGTTGCAAACTCCATTGGAAATTTGAATTGAGATTATGACCATATCTTGAGGGAAAGAATTTTTTTTGGAAAAAAGGGGAAGGTTAAAAAAAAATGGGGGGGGGGGGGGGGGGGGGGGGGGGGGGTAAAAAAAATTGGTGGTGGGGGTGGGGACAATTTTTTCTCCTCAAGATTTCAGAAATCAAAATGAAAATTTCTACGAATATTTTTTTTTGAAAAAAAAGGAGGGGGGGGGGGGGTAAACAAATTTTTTGGGGGGAGGTCAATTCGCAACAGCATACTGTTTTGCAGAAAAGAAAAAAAAAAGGGGGGGCAAATTTTTTTTGGGGGGGGGGGGTCAATTTGCAACAGCAGCATAGTGTATTGCACTAAAGCAAAAAATTGAATATAAATTCAAATCATATAACCAATTCTTAAGTTCTTTGACTACAGTTATTCTGTGTGAGAAAACTATTACGTGTCAAATATTGAATTATAATCCAAATTCAGACCTGTATCAAGCGCAAATATTGCCACAACTGTTCAGTGTTGGACCTTTGCGGTCGTATCCAGCTGCGCTCGGCGAAGCAATTTATTCTTTTGGTTGAAGGCCGTACGGTTGCCTATAATTACTTACATCCACTCCATTTGAACTTTTGTGGATAGTTGTCTCATTGGCAATCATACCACATCTCCTTATTTTTATGTTACATACATGTAACAAAAATATGGTAGTATCAGGCTTGCTCAGAGTTGGACATAGACAATCACAAACAATAATTGGTGACCTAGCATGGTCATTTCTCTGAGTCATACTTAGAATTATTTACTTTTTTGTTCAGAAGAAATTTTTGAAGAATAACGATTTTCTGGGAAAGAGTGGACACTTAGAGATGCATGAATATAATTCAATGTTTTTGAGATAAATTCACACCAAGCCATCATGATGAACTGGAATGCTGTTTTTTTTTTAAACTCGAGATGTGAATAACCACAAATGGTGAAAATCAAAATTGACCCTAAATATTCAATGGCACTTTATTGAATATAAACAAAAAGTCAATCCTAAGGTGCTCTGTAGACGGTAAAATTTTGAATAAAAAGATATTTGTGAATAATTCTTATATGATTTGCATATTAGGGAATACGTTGATATGATTGGCCGAGAGGACTTCCGGTAGTTCTTGACGTTGTTTATTTTTCGATAGACGACGTTGACTGCACTTTTTTTTGTAACCAATGTAAACAAGATGGCGACGATAATAACACAATCCGGCTCGACGTTTAAAATATTTATTTTCACCTCGCGTTAATCGTTAAATTAAATAATAAACACAAAACATTCATTTGAATGATATTATGATTTTTTGTAGTTTATTTTTTATCAGATAGCAAATTTCATGGTGTACATACTTTTGATTTAACAAATAAATATACTCATGCGCCAGACTGATTCAATGACATAATTATACAATTTACGTGTGAAAGAGGTTATGAGTGTGGAAAAATAAATTAGTTGTCTCCAATTTAAAGAATTATAAGGATTAAACGCCTTTTTAAAGGAATTTATTGGTGTATAAACTGGACCAAGTCGCTCACAAACATATCATAAAAGTCCTTCGGACTTTTATTTGTTTGTGAGTGAATTGGTCGAGTTTATACACCAATAGATTCCTTTAAAAAGGCATTTAATCCTATAATAAATATACTCATACAATAATATGTTCTTTTGAAATGCAATGTAGAATTATCATTTCAATACCAAAAGAATTGAAAAATGTCTAAATATCTGATGTTTTTAGCCTTTCCTGAAAAGTAATATGTTTGATTATAATCAGTCTGAGCTATAAAATCATAAATCCTGTAGGTAACTGCCTTTTCAATGCATTCACGCTTTGATTCAGCATCCAATCAAATCATGTAAAGAATGTGTAAACTATGAAATATTCATGAATAGTCATGAAAATTCTATGTTCTAACCAGTTTTTCAATTTTATTCAATAACCTTATTGTTAACATTTCTAGACTTAGGCTGTGTTCTCACAAAACGTTTACAATAAATTGCATGCTCTCATCTGTGTACCAATCTTAATAATCTGGGTGTACATGATAATTGTTTACACGTGATAACTAGATTGTATGGTTGGTGTTTGCTTAACGTTAAGTGGCGAGTAAATGTGAAGTTATTTAAATCTATTATCTTACACAGAAATAGTTGAAATAATTATTCTTTATCGGGAATTGAAGGAGTTGGGCACCAACCAAATATTTCTTAAAAAATTGTTTGTTTTCATTGAAAATTCAGAGGAGGAATAAATTCATTGAGTTTCAGTAAAATTTCTTGTTCCTGTATGTTATGAAAAAAAATGTATTTGATTTTTGATAAAAAGACTGACAAGAATGAGCAATTGCAAAATGTTGATTTTTATAGGTCTGTTTGATTTCATGTCATAGATTTAAAAAAAAATGGAAATCATTGTTTTATTTCGATGTGAATAGTTTTTTGTCACCTAAATGGTTTTTATCTGGTGGCTTCCTTGTTTCTCTTTTTAATGTTGACATTCTTTTCTATTTGATAAATGAACAGGCTTACCACATGCGTGTAAACCCATCTCCTGCTAAGGGTCAAATTGAAGGTTGCATGAATACAGATTCAAATTAGGTTGAACCTGCAGGCCAATAATACATTAGCGATGTTTTGTTTTTGAAAAAATTGAATCAAGCTGACTGTAAATAGCAAAATATTATTTCAATATCCTGCTTTGATGAATGATAGAAAAAATAAAAAATAGTATTTTATGTTTTTTTCTAAATCGTAGCTAATGCCCTTTTAAGGTAGTTACCGGTAACAATGAACCTTCTGTCACATCAACTTGAGATTTAGTATACATGGTCATGGTGAACTTTTAAAACTATATGACTTTTAATTTTAGCATTTTGACCCTGATTTCACACCTAAATGGTTATTGGCATAGAATAGTGCCAGCCTGACATATTCTTGTTTGACGAAATGTTGTTAACATTATCCATTCTAAATTCATAATTTTGTTCCTCTTTGGGATTATGGTTGGTAGCTGTGCAACCACCATCAAATATTGCCATTATTACCTAAATGAACCAATTTGACAAAAAAACTAAAATATCAAACCAAGGATTGATTGATATAAAACTTTTGTTAAATGAGACTTTTGTGATCCATTTTCAGTTTTGTGTGTAATGACATAGACCACCTCTAAATATAGGCCTTGCTAGTACTAGAAATTTAAATTTGATGTAAATTGAATTAAAAAATTCTGAAAAATCACATGAAGTAATAAATGTTGCCAAACTTCAGTTAAATAAATAGTGTATACTTGATTAATTTGAATGCTACATTCTTTTAATGGGGTGGTTAAAAGTCATAAGTTTCAAATTGAATTCCATGAAAAAATAGAGAAGAAATTATCTTGTTCTTTTATTACTCTGATTGTAGGTTTCATGATCGGTGCCTCTGTCAAAAGTAACTATGATCACAATCAAGCCATTGCAAAAGTGGTCTTGACATTTGAAAGGCATCGAATAACATCTACTAAGTGTTCAATCTGCAAGGAAATGATTTGGTGTCGACACATTGTGGCTGTAATCCTCAAAAGAATTAAAAGTCCAGAAAAAGTGAGTATATTTAAATTTTGATATTTTCAGCTCACTTGATGTAAATTTTACTGATATACAATGTTTTGGCTGAATACATTAGAACCATAGCTATAAACAGAAAGCACCACTGCTAGAATGATAGGACCGTGTTTTGAAAATATAGGGCTGTTGGACTCCAGTGATTAAACATTTAGGATAAGCTGTCAAATAAGAAAAAATTTGGATTAAAAAATAATTTGTATATCAGCAAAGATAAATTTCTATATGGGAAATTTATGACAGGTGAGAAATTGCTCCTTGGAACCTCTAGTTAGTATGTTAGATGTGTGAGAATACAAGACAGAGAATTGTAAGTCATGATTGTCTTGTTTATGAGTTGTTACAATAAGTTTCTTTAAGTCATATGATACTTCAAATTTTACAAAAATGTTGAATATGTTTTATATTCTTGAATGGCTATGTTTTACTGTGAAACATGAGTACTTCAACTTTTTCTTGAAAAGAAAATCCTTAAATTTGTTTATTTTACTCTTAACTCACAGACAGCTTTTCAATATGCAGTGATTTTAACCATGACCTTTCATTAAAAAATTTGCAACCACAAACACAAGTGCAAGGGAAAAACCCTGATAAAAGAAAAGGTACACAGGTGGAAGAAAGATAGTATTAATCGGTTCTAGCAGACAAATTTCAATAAAACAAATCAATTAAACACTGTTATGACAAAGTTTAATTAACAAATGGGAATGCAAGAAAAATATAAAAAAGACTAATTTATATCACTCTATCATCTCACTTATTTTTCATGTGCTCCATGATTTTGTATGGATTGTTTATCACAACATGCAGAAGGAAACAAGTGGTAAACCTTTGTAACACAACCCGACAGTTATTAAGCAGCTAACATTTTCAATAAAAAATCACAGAATGAAATATTTTTGCAGATGATTAGATGTCATGGATTCATTATAAATTTAAAGAAATAAACGTGCACAGAGGACTTGATTAAGTATATATGCATGCATTGGTTCAATAATTTCTTAAACATCATAATTACCAGATACACATTTTTTATAGCTTTAAGTGTACCAGATTGCTAATTATGATAATATTTTGTAGGTACCAGTACATGCTCCTCTGACAGATACACTTCTGACACTAACAAGAGAACAGCTTCAAAAACTGTTACAATATGCCATAAACCAAAGTCCAGGGGATATATTGTGCCAGATATTTGAGCATATTGGTAAGCTAAAGATGAATAAATAATGTGTTATTTACTTCTACAAAAGAAAATTTGTAGGAAAATAGATTTTGGATGTATTGCTTTGTGTTTTTATGGACATCTAGTCAACCATGAAGGATAAATTATCGTAAACTTACAAACAAATCTTTGCTTCAACCATCCCTTTGATATCATGTGCAATCTTCAAACCTTGGTGGGGCCAAGGTGGCCGAGAGGTCTAAGTAGTTCAACTATTGTTCCACTAGCCTGTCAACACTCTATTAAAACACAAAAAATCAATCAATCAAAACTTGGTCAAATATTCCAGTGGACATATTTACTAAAACTTAAACATAGAGATTTGAAAAAAAATATACCCTAAAATGGTCACCTGATTTTGGTATAATCATATGGTAATGAACAACTTTAATGATCACAGCTGATGTCTCAAGCTGCTATCAGATATAGATACAACCCTTGAGAAAATTTTTACAAACAAAACATATTTGGAAGAATACCATGAATACAGTCAATGACGTTGTTACCAATTGTCATGACAATTATAAGTAAATGGAAAAATTTTATATTATGGGTGGTCGAGGACAAAAAAAGCTGCCCATTCATTTATGAACAACTGTATTGCCATGAATTTTGTTATATTCATATTACTGATGAGTTGCATATTGAATTTGATTTTGCATAATTTCTTCAAATTGATCACAATTATATCTGACTGTATTTTTCTTTCTGCATGTTAGGAATTTGATTATACATGAAGTTGTATGTCGTTTAAAATCTCTGGTGTCATTATTTAAAGTCTTCTTAGTTATATGAAAAATCAAGGATTATGTGATGAAGATGCTTGATGCTAGCTTTTATTTTTATCTTGCAGATAAAATTAAGAATCCTAGATCTCTGATTAGCCGTATTCAAGGATATCCCGATCCGACTCTTGGAATAGGGGAAGATGAACAAAATACTGATCAATTACTACTAAAAGAAATAAGAAGGAACTTAGATAATGATTTACTTTATACTGACAACTATGAAAGGTATGTGAAATATTCGCTGGTTTCTTGATATTCATTGTAAAAAATATTTTGAAAACATATCAAGAAAACATACATGATGGTCTGAATTTTATTATAGGCCTGTTGAAATAGTATAAATATGGTATTTCATCGGTCTGTTATAAGCACATTTCTCAAGAACTGAAATTTGACTTGAATAATCCTTATAAATCGTAAAAATGGAACTTGGTTAAAATTATGAAATTTAAAGAGATGAATTAGTTTATTGGTGATTCTTGATTTCCATTGACAAAACTAGGGAGACAGATTTTGCTGATTATTTAATATATGAAGTTGAGCACTTCAGTTTGTGAAAGAGATCATTAAATGTGAACAAGTATGTTTGTTGCAGTCAATTTGGTGTTGAGATGCATCCTGGGGAATATAGCAACCCCCTGTCATAAAGGAAATTTTTCTGACCTATATTTTATGCTTCATTAGCTTTAACTTGTGCTAAGTTACCTACCTTCACATAATTTGGTATATAGATGTATCTTGGCAAGTATAATATCCTCACAAACAGTGAGTTACTCTGTCCTAAATATATATTAATTCATTTTCTTAAGTTTTTGTCAGATTTTTATGAAATTTACATCAACAATGTGTCAGACTAGTTCTAAAAATAGATCAGCCATTTTTGTCAGAGTTGTGCTACTTGGTCGGAAATGAAAATTATTAGGAAAATTGCCTTGTAAGTGATCTCATTCCTATAATTCTTTATCAGCAATTCCTTTGGCGAGTTAAAATCAGTGCATTCAACTTTTTCTAAAGGTGTTATTTCCCTTTGAAATGTAAGTTATATTAAAAATTACATTGTAATCTCACTTACTTCCACACTTCTACATTTCCTGACACATTTTACTGAATTTAATGTCTAAAGAATAAATAAGAACTGTCTTTCAAGATTTCTTAAATCAGCTATTTTTACAGAACTAATGCCCATAGCAAATGGAAATTATATAGAATATTGTGAGTGCTCTCCTGCCTTTATTTCATAAAATGAAAGTATTGTCTATTATCTTGTAAACCGTCATAGATAGATAAAATCTGACCAAGCAGAAATATTCAGAATTTTGAATGTCAAGATCTACATATACCTTTCATTGAAACAAAAACTGTCTGACAGATGGCTCCTTTTAAGAGTTATTGCCCTTAAAATAAATGACAATTATCATAACTTTTTTTTGTGTTTCTATATGACTGCAAAAAATTTGGGTTCGTGTTTTGCAATCATGTCGTCGTCATTGTCATCGGAAGACATTTTGTTTCCGGACAATAACTTTAGTATAAGTGAATGGATCTCTATGAAATTTAACCACAAGATTCAATATCACAAAAGGAAGGTTGGGATTGATTTTGGGGGTTATGTATGGTCCCAACTGTTTAGGAATTAGGGGCCAAAAAAGGCATTTTTCTAGTTTCCGGACAATAATTGATCAGCAGGACAAGATCTACAAATAATTCAATATGGCCTAAATCTATCATCAACATTTTATAGGAGTTATGGCCCTTAAAAAGACTCTTTTACCCATTATTGTGTCTTTTTGATTGAAACTATAGTAGATAGAGAAAAATTTTTATGGCAAAAGTGAACAAGATAAACTATTTAAGCAACATGGCTGAAATTGTCAGTGACATATCACTTCATGCCCTTGAATGAAGATTTTTGTCTTGCCCAAAACGAAACTGGCAGTATTCGAGACACAGTAGGGATTCAATTTTACTTTTGGCAATGGAAAGTCCAGGACCTTTTACCAAAAAGACTGAAAGGTCCTCCTTTTTTCTGAAAAAGTCCAATTTTATTTGTACTTGAAAATTAAATTTATGAAAACAGAAAATGTTTACCTTTGCAAACAGAATTAAGAAAGGAAAATGGGAATGTGTCAAAGTCAGACTACAACCCGACCAAAGAGCCCAAGGCCACAATTGGTCTTCAATGCAGTGAGAAAATCCAGCACTCGTAGGGGGGCTACAGTTGGCCCCTAAACAATAATGTATACTAGTTCAGCAAAATGGATGCCACACTAAACTCCAAACATAAATGTACCAAAATTAAAAAACACACAAGATTAACAAAGGCTTGAGCCAAAAGATTATGTCTTCATCACATGAAATCCAAGCACAATAAAGCACTCATCGTGTCTTACAGTTTATACTAGCATCTAAAAGCCAAAAGGAACCATGCATGCAATTATGTTTTGGCAAAGTAGGTAACTAAACTAGGTCTGTTCTTTGTTTGATTAAATGTGTTTTTTTGCTTTGTGAAATGAGAATTTACTGCTTTCCATATTGTATGTTTAATATTAACGTGTAAATAATTAATGCATTTCACTCAGTTAAGATATCATTTTGTAACATAAACACCTTGAACTGTACCATTTTAATTGTTCTGGTTTCAATTGCTGTTTTAGAACACACTGGCCTAATTTTGTGTCAGATAACAGCTTTTTACATTTAAAAAGTATTTTGTCATGATTCAAACATGTGCTTTTTTTACCAAGTAATATGCATGCGTAAATTGTTTTCATCAGGAGATGAGACACTAAATCGGTAAATGCAAAATGATTTCATGCTAAATTAAACGATTGCAACTATTATCTGTTGTATTCAAACACTTTTAAAGTTAATAAAATTAAAAATTCAGTGATTTCTTGTCATTTTGATAAACAGAACAAATTCCGGAAATGAATCCGGAATTACTCGTACTTTAGTATTGTCGTGAAACTTCTGATTTTAATTTTGTCTTAAATATCGAAAACAGCGTTAGCGATGTCTTAGAAATTTACCATTTTGAGTCATTAAAATCATTTCAAATTTAGACTGTTGCATTCCACAAACTGTTTTTGAACGTTTTGATAAAAACGGTAAGCAAATTAATGAAGTAAATGCGATGAAACAGTAAATACAAGTTCGTTGATGCTATGAATCTGATGTGATTAATTTAAGCAATTTGAAAAAAGGGCCACAACTTTTAAGACATCTCAAAATGACCGAAATTGGGTGAAAACATTTCAGGATCCTTGGTCTGGAAGATATCGTCTGACCTTGTCCTCATTTTCATGGGTAAGTTTTTGTGTTTTGGTCTTTTTCAATTACAATAGCAATAGGTCAGCTATATTCGGTGTGTGGAATAATTGTAAGGTGCAGATGTCTGTCTGACAGGATTTATCTGACCTTGACCTCATTGTCGTGGATTTTAAAAAATGTTGTTTTAATGTAGTAAAACCTTACTCTTTGAGTCTTTCAACATAAAATCAATAGTCAGTATAGCAGGCAAGACATTTCCGTGTGTGCACTCTTGTTAACCATTTTCTGTTATTTTTATGTAAACTATAGCAGATTCAGAGAAAGTGCAAGAAGCAAAAATGATCAACAGGACAAGATCAACAAATCTATTAACAGAACCAAAAATGTTTGTTGAATCCTTATAGTATTTTTGTTTGCAGAAACTGTAGTAGATTGAGAGAAACTGTATATGGCAAAATTGACCAGCAGGACAAGATCTACTATGAAGTCAAGACGCTCCAAATTGTCAGTTGATTCTTTATAAGAGTTATTACCCTTGAAAGATGAATTTTAACTATTTTGTGTTTCTTTTGTAAACCATAGATGGAGAGAAACTGTAAAAAGGTAAAATTATCAGCTGGACACAAAACTACAACTCAGTTAACATGCCTTAAATGGTCAGTTTACTCCTTTTAGGAGTTATTGCCCTTGAAGGATGATTTTACAATTATTTGGCATTTTTTTGGTGGAAACTATTTGAAATATCCTCATTGCATGATATCACTTTATGCAAATTGACAGGTGATCATGAGCGATACAGGCTCCTTCGAGCTTTTAGTTATGTATGCAATATATTTGCAGTAAGTTGCAGAGTAACAGCTTGTCAGATCAAGTCCAATTTATGGCCTCAGAAAATCACTCTTTAAAAGAAAAAAACTTGAAAACAGCAATCTCCTTGTTACGAATTAAAGATGTCGACATGGCAGGAAGGATTCTTATACAGATAGCCCAGGCCTTGTTTGAAGGTATGTTTTAGAATAGAAAGTTACTTAAGGTTATTCATGATATTGACAATTTAGTTTACAAATTTTTTTTTTGAAAATTGCAAAGCTAAGGATGGGGAAAACGAGTTATTCTTTTGTCGGATATTGTTAATCCTTCTCACTATTTAATTTTCGTTACATTATTTAAAACAACAAATCAGAAATTCCACAAATTTTGTACCAATCTTCATTTGAACATACCCATCCATTGCTCATCAACTTCCTATTAACTGAAAACATTTTGTGTACTTATATATTCTTACACATAATGACCATGTATGTAATTTTTGTCACATTCTTCTCAGGATCTACAAATCAAAGCTTCTTGAACTTTGGTATCAGGCTTTATATCATATATAATTGAGGGGTATAATTAATCACTTCTAGTTCATCTTGTAATTCAGTCTACCATGAGAGCCTCTATACCATCATTCTTCATCCTTTGCCATTTGGTAGGCATTAACTTGAGAAAACTATAAGATTAAGAGATAAGTGTTTTAGCAATGCATTACTGTTAATCTTTGATTTCTATTTATTATGCCCAGCCTATGATAGTAGTGACCATTATGTTTTCTGGTCTGTATATCCATCTGTTTGTCATGTATATATTAGGGTTAAATTTTAGAGAAAGTACCTTACCATGAAGATGTTGTAAGATCAACTTTAAAGTTAGTTAACATGTATATTGTGACATCAACTATTTTTATTAAATGACAAATTATAATTTTGACCACTATTTCACGGTTCAGTGACCATGGAAAGATTTGAAATCAGTACATTCGCAGGTAAAAGTTCTTGTTTACGGTAGTTTACTATAATGTTTTGGTCACATCTACTAAATTTTACAGTTAACCTTATGCAAAAGAATATGAATACATCTGTTAACCTATTTCAGGTTGAAAAAATCTCTTCGGAAAGTCTGGAACTGTTTGAAAATGAGTTCTTATAAGAACCCTTCAAAACAGACCAAAATTCATCTTTTATTTCGCATTTGAATGTTCCAAAATCAATCAAAGTCTTATACATATACATGTATACGTGCACTTGCACAAGGTCTATTTCTATCCAACGCAGCTCATATGTTGTGAGTCATTCCTTTGTTTTTCCTATGAATCAGTGCAGATGTATGGTATATGTTATTGAGGAAGCATTTCAACCACTCAATGAAGAATACATTTCTGTTATCTAAATAATTATATATAAACCAGGGGTATGAACATTTTCTCAAATGACTTTGGTCATTTTTGGTGGACTTGAAAAGTGAGGGCCGAAAAAGATTCAAACTGATAAATTCATAACAGAGGTCATGGCATAGATAATCCTGAATCAGTTGTTGTATAGTGATAATTAGCAATTGTTAGCCTGATATCAGGGGTGGGGGGTATTAAATGGTGTAATAATGAGTGACTGTGTTATTACATAATAAGCATGGCAATCAGTGTAATATTGATTGACTGTATTATTACATGAACAGCATGGCAATCAGGATTAAGTGACTGTTGACCAAAAATTACAATCTCTTACAAGAGGATGTTGAAAGTGTCCAATCTTGACCATGTTGATATATTTTCATATTCAATCAAACTTAATTTTGGAATATCATTTTAGTCATTTCAATTTAGAATCACATGTGACTTGTAAATATGACTGTTTCCTGATCCTTTGTATATACAGTCACTACAAACCAGTAAAAGTCTGAAATGGCCTATATTTGTACTCGACTGTACTAATTTTTACTCAACCAGTCTGAATTGGTCTGAAATTTACTTGATAATACTCGACTGTAGTCTGAACCATACTTAACAGTCTGAACTTGTACTCGACCAGTACTTAACCATTTTATTTTCGTCTGAACCATGCTCGACCTAGTCTGAACCATGCTCGACCTAGTCTGAACCATACTCGACCTAGTCTGAACCATACTCAACTAAGTCTTAACCAACCTAGACCTAATTTTTGTATCTATCTATTGTATTTCATCAATTTAGGAACTGTTTTTAACAGCTATTTCCCCTGGCTAGAAATTTGAACAACAATTTGAAATTTAAAATGTATTCAATATGGCATTGAAACCAAAATTTCACAATAAACATAATATAAATTCAACACCATATTTATCAACACTTAAAATAAAAATAAAACAAGCTGATCAAATAATCTCAAAACTGAATTGTGACTAATATTTTCAATGTTATTCAAATTTTTTTGAATGTTTCAGATATATTTTATGGTTACTGGACAATTTTCACCATTTACTTAAGCCTTGTATAGATTTATGGTGTCAGTTGAGTTTAGTTAATAATGCAGCGAACATTTTTTTTATTAAAATATATTTGAAATAGTATAAGCAACTTAATAAATTTTAAAAATCACACCTTTGATTTGTAAAACCAAGAATTTAATATAATCATGATAATAGAACTTCCATAGCAATCCTTGATAACCATTTAAAAAAGGAAATGTGTTCCAAAGTTGCAGAAAAAATTTATTTCAATTAAATTTAAATAACTTTTGTTAAAATTAAAGACATGGCATACAAGAAGCACTTTAATAAGGTTTATTTACCTCAGTACATGTGTGTTTTACAGGTAAAAAGAAAGCCCTTTTTTCTTAAACTTGTGTATTACTTATCTAGTGAATTCAAAAGGCCTTGCGATTTAAGTTTTACAGGATGTTGCAATTTTTAATGAATGTTAATTAGAAATTAACCTATAGTTGTACAATGTAACCTATGGGAATGCAACAAGAGTATAAATCTCAATAACCGAAAATTATACCATAGCTATCTATGGTATAATTTTCACAATTATACCATGGTTTTGTTGTATTTGGTATTCGAAAAGAAAAAAAGAAAGATAGCAAGGCCTATCCGAGGCCGCCTGAATTTTTTGAGATAGGAACAACAGAGTCAGTGTGGGGCCACTAAGCTAAACTGCCCGCTTTACACCAGCCGATATAAATGAATGCCTAGGGTGGGAATCGAACCCACATACACCAACTCCGTTGTCCTATATTTTTAAATGAACGAAAATTCGATTCAAGAACAAAGTTTAAAAAAAAAGTATACATAAATATATTATTGTATTATACTTGAAAATATAATTCGATTTTCGGTTATTGAGATTTATAATTGGGTTGTAGTATCTTAGGCTCAACTGTATAGCTACATGTAAAGGTTGAAATTTGCCGTGGCGGCTTTTTTAAGGGGGAGGGAGGGGGAAGGCATGCCCCTTTCAAGAATGGTAAATGCATAGATATTTCGTATTATTACTCCAAACGTTGGATGGCTAGACCCCACCTCCTTTTCAAAATCCTGGATCCGTATCCGATTTTATATACATCTTAATTTAACTATTTGCTTAAGTAATAACTATAATGTTGGGCTGTTAAGAATAGAAAGCGTCTGGTAACTCTAAATAAAGGTGAACTTTTTGTTTAAATTATCTATAGTCTACATGTGATTTTTAATGATCTTTAATCGTGATCATTTTGAAATCCGTTTTAATTAAATTAAATTAAATGTACAATTTGGGATTCTGGTACAAATTAAAACATGGAATAATTCATCCAAACTCTCAGAAAGATTCTTGTGAATTAAATTTCCACAGAATTATAAATTAATACCAAAAACTTCAAAACATTTCAAATATCTTGATAACATAAAAAAAAACTAACCCTTTGCAGTTCAACTTTAAATCTGGGGTCCAGAAATCTTTCAAACTATATCTTGCGTCCATATGGAGAACATATAATTCCTTCAACAGTTTTTAGTCTGTAACGTTACCTGTCACCAATGTAGATGTGCATCCATCGCTGTCGAAAAATCCTGTCCAACTGATTTTCCCGCTGTTTCAGAAGCCCGTGCGTATTTTAGAAAGTAGGCGGAGCTTAATGTGTAAGGTCCTAAAAGGGTAATTTGACCGATTCTTATCAAAATTACTTTTGAAGTTAATAAACAAAAATATATGAAATACACATTTTTAAACAACAAGATATGCAATAGGTTAAAACAGATATTTCATATATTTTGGTTAGTTTTGTGGTGTTTCGTAAATTATACCATAGTTTTTTGTTGAAACCCCTCGGCAACCTCACTCGACTTCGTCTCGTGAGGTTATTGCCGGGGGTTTCAACAAAAGCTATGGTATAATTTACGAAACACCACAAAACTATTCAAAAGATATGAAATATCTATAACTTAATACTCTCTGACCAGGTGTGATCTTTTTAATGAGTTTGCCCGAAGCAGGAGGTATTACTTTAAATTTCTCCACTAATCAGAAGAAAATTTTATCTATTTCTTTAATTTTTTTATCCCTTTTTGATATATATTATATATGATATATCCCAAATTATAATAAGAATAGATATATTTCTAATATTAGTTAAACAATTTCAGTGATTTTTTGGCTGTTGTTACCTCATTAAATAGATAATTATATAACTATTGTATGTAACCATGAAACCTATATAGTTTTTCTTTAGGAATTTAGGAAAATTAAGTTAAAAAAAAAAAAAAAAACACATGCCAAACAAGAAGCACCTTAATAAGGTTTTATTACCCTCAGTAAAGGTGTGGTTTTTAGTTAAAAGAAAATCTTTTTTTTTAACAAAACTCTAAAACTTTTAAATTAATATAATTAAATTATTATATAAGATAATTCAATTTAACTATCTATTTGATAAATCTGAGAATCATGTAAGGATGTAAAAATATGTTTTTATATATATCTTTATTTTATTGTGGCTGTTGTCATGTCAGAAAAAAAGAAATTAATTTTAACAGCTAAAATTAAAAAAAAGTATAGGTTTTTTGGTCAAGTATGGTTCAGACTGGTCAAGCATTGTTCAGACCTTTGGTCGAGTATGGTTTAGACTGAAAAAATTGGTCGAGTACAGGTCGAGAATGGGTTAAAACTGTTTCAGACTGGTCGAGTAATAGTTCAGACTATTTTCAATGGCAAAGATAAGGGTCAAGTACAAATCAGTACGGTCGAGTATGGTTAAGACTGGGGTCGAGTAATGTCGAGTAAAATTCAGACCAATTCAGACTGGTCGAGTAAAAATCAGTACAGTCGAGTACAGATATAGGCCATTTCAGACTTTTACTGGTTTGTAGTGAGTCGAACCTCGTTGTGTTGAAGTCGAAGGGACCGGACCAAAGTATTCGACTCATCCGAGATTCAACTCATCCGAGGTCGAATGTATCGTCATAAATTTGGACTGCATGAAATACTGTATGAGATTTGTGTAAACTAGATATACTTTGAACAGTGTGCCGTTTTTCAATATGACCCTTTATGATTTTGTATTCAATCTCCATATTTTTTTGTCCTTCACAATTAAAAACACAAGTACAGATACAAATCATGAACAAATAGAATCAATAGTCTACACAAATATTTACAAAGGTCAGTCACTATAAATTATGAAATCACTCATGGAGCGAAATAAGTTCTGAACGGTCTCTGATGCGATCGTCTGCTTTACATTAAATTATTATGAATTTATCCTAATGTCTTAATCCTTTTATTTATTGTTATTAATGAGTTTTAATTCTAACGATTCATTAAATCATGGCTTTGGTCATTTAAATTCGTTTTGTTTTTATGTCAGGTGAAATATGTTCAACACACTAATGTTCCGCTTGAACGATCAACAAAGGTGTTAATTACCGGTCACAATAAGCATGTCATTTTAACTGTTATACAAACAAGTATGTTTACTCAGCTTTAATCTCTTTTGAAAATGATTAGGTTACATAAGAAATACATCTGATTTGAATATTTATCATTAGGTCTCCATTTTTCGAAAATTCATACTTTCGAACTTCGAGACAACGGGGTCAATTTACATTGATATTACATCGACGGGACTATAACATTTACTCGACTTAACTGAGTATTCGAATCAACCGAGTTCCACTCATCAGAGGTAATTATGAATTAATCAAATGGGAATTTTACCGGGACAGAGAAATAACTTCGACTCATCCAAGTTTTCGACACAACCGAGTTCGACACAACGTCAATGAGGTTCGACTGTACATACATATTGTTTTTTTTTTATCTTGTATACATATGCCATGATAAATTAAGTTTTCTTTACGCCTTTTATAAACCAGGTGTTCAAAGTTTAAATTTTAATTGTAATTTTAATGTTCTATTTGCTACATGTATGAAATGAAAACATTTCTGTGATAATAGTGTATATTTCAGGTCCAAGACTTAGCCCGTCATCAATGTCATTTAGGTTAGATGTTGAAAGATGGTTTAGCCTGTTTGTGTCTTCATTTGAAGGACAGATTCGACATGACATACTCACTGTTGCACTGGATATTAACAAGTAAGCCTTTAACATCTTTGAATTCTAATTTGGTCTAATTTGAAAACAATTTTTTTTATTCTTTGCCAAAATTTAGTTAATATATTACACTTTTTTGTTTCAGATATGATAGAAAACGTTTTGGTCACAGAGCTTTTTTTCAAGCTACACATTGTGCAAAATTCTTAGATTTTGTAGAGATAATATATGAACAAGGAATTACTTGAATCTGGAATAATTTTGAATTCTGGAAAATTGTTAAGAAATGTAGGATGAAACTTAACCCAATTTAGGAGGGTTAGCCATGCATGGCTAAGGGGGTTAGTTAGTTAGTTCATACTGAACTATTAGTGAAAGTAACCTGAACCCTAGCCATGCGTGCATGGCTAACCCTATTTAGTTGGGTTAGTTTAATTATACATTTCAAATCAATTTTCCAGAATTCAAAATTATTCCAGATTCAAATAATTCTTTGTTTATGGATAAAACCACTTTTGCATGAATAGAAAGAAAATTTTAACAAGAGAGTAAACAATAGAATGTTCAAATATTTCAAAGGGTCAACTTTCAAAAGTCTGTAAGAATTGACCAACAATATTTTTAATTTTTGTACTTAACATTTCAGTTATTGAAAAAAATGCTATCTTGCAAAATGTCAAAATTATTTTTCCGGCTTTTTTGTTGGAGTAGGAAAATTGATTCTTCACTATTTCCTGTAGAACAATAGTAGAATCTGATAGATAAATGACGAGTCCTTCTGGATATCTTACATATGATATATTTATAAAAAGCTACAATTTAAAAAAAAATAGTTGGAAGTCTTGGAAGAATTTGTAAATTTAAGAGATAGAAAATTGTGATCTATTATGAAACACATACATTGTATTATTAGCATAAGAAATAAGTTAGAAATGTATATGAATAAAGTTGAAACATATTAATTCTTTTTTGGATCTGTCAGACACCTTCTTTCTGTTTTCTGATACTTTGAATTACGAGTGGGGGTATACTGAGCATGAAAAGGCGTGTGCAGCCTCTTGTTCCTATTATAGAACCTATTACCTGTGCTTGTTTATTTGTACTAGTATAACCATGAGCTTATTTATTTGTACGAGTATAATCAGGGTCTCCATATTTAAGTGTTATGCTTGGACAGTTTGATTCAGCATGCCTTATATTTGTATGTTTGATTGAATCATTCTTTATATATGTATGTTTGATTTAAAAACTGGAAGGGAAAGACAGATGATGATTGAACCCTGTCTTTTTTTTAGGGAAACTTTGTGTTTGTTTTCATTGCATTTTATTGATTTTATTTTAGAAGATCATCTAATGCTGATGGAAGTGTGATTCAGAAGTTTATATTTAAAGACCAGCAAACTACCATGAGAAGTGTTTCTTTGAAGACAGCTGGTAATTTCAATCCTAGAGATTATTTAGGAGAAAACAAGAAAGCACCTTTTTATGAGCCAGTGTTAGCATGCCTTTTGCAAAACACACCTGCAAATTTAGAAAATCTATACAGTCAGAAAGTGCCTTTATCACAAAGGTATGTTTAGCATTTTAGATATATCAAATGTAGTAAGGGATATAAACAAACATTGAACTGTGTGTCTCGGCTGGGATTGCTACGGTCAGTTTAAAAGTGAAATGTTCATTGACAAAAAGTCCATATATCAGTAAAATACAGAAAAATTAAACCTTTTTCTTCAAATTCTATTTTTTTGATCTTGAAGAAGCTTATTTCCAAGTTTCATAACATTCCATGAAGGTTTAACAAAATAACTGATGTCTAAAAAAAATGTAACCCAGAATGTAAATAATTGATATTAAACTGCAAGTCCACACATGTCAGTAATATACGGAAAAATAAGAAAAATACATTAAATTTTTATTCAGACATTATCTCTTAAACATTAAAGAGCTTCTGTCACAGTTTGATTAAATTCTATGAAGGTTTGGCAATGTAAATTGATGTCTAAAAACTTTTAACCCCAGACAGTAACTAAATATAGACTGCAAAAAAAACAGTAACATACAAAAACAAATATTTTCAAAATTTTACTTTGAATACTGCTTTAAAAAAAAATTCAGTCCAAATTTCATAAAATTCCATGCAGATTTGACAAAGTTATTGATGTCTGAAAAGCTAGACTTTATATTAATGTTAACAATGTAAAAAACTAAGTCCATTTATTATTAACCCTTAGACTGCTGCATTCATTTCTATTGTACTTTTGTGTATTGCTGAATAAAATTTTAATCACTGATGAAATAAACATGTTTACTTATAATTGCAATATCTTTGTAAATATTGAATATTCATCAATAAAAGTTATATAAAAAAGTATTGTAATATTCTGTATTTTTTATTTATTTTATTTTTGTGTGAGTCTCTGGTCATTTATTACCTGTACAGGTGCAAATAGAGGTAAACAAAGGTAAATTTATTTTTTTCATGTTTTATTAACACGAATCCATCAATGTAAAAACTTTTCAAAAGTATCCATGACTTCAGAATTGAACCAATATTGTTAAAAATCTCTTTTAAGAACTAGTTCCATTGCGATTATCAAAAGAAAAAAGTTTCTTCTCGGACCAACGTTTTTTTTATGCAACTATTTTCCGGTATTTTCCTTCCGACTTTCGACTTTTACTTCCATGTACAAATATGTTTTAACAACAAGTTCATTGATATAACTTTCGTCAATAAATAATCTTGACAAACATAATGTTTGAATCTATCGATGTCAGTGATCAATATTGATTCACAGTTGAAAGGCGCAATGATAAACATCGCAAATCCTGTTTCATGTCATCCATTTCGAACATCGTCTAGGGAATCCCTGTGGTTCCCGCTTTAAAAGTCTTCTGTTCGCAGTTTTGCTAGAATATTTCTATTTCCATCTATTATATCTTCTGATTCTAGTCCAAATTATTTAAGTTGGCCGCCGCTGTTACATCGTTATCATTGAAATACTTCTGAACGTGTTGGCCATCACTCCAAACAATTTCCGCCATTTTGTTATTTTTCATCTAAATTTTTCACTTTCGGTTTCTTCGCTTATACCTGATTTAAAGTCAAGAGAAACTCGAAAGTATGCCGAATTTTAACCAATCAGAATCCATACAAGTCTGAACTGCCGCAATCTCATGAATATTGACTCCGCCCATTCCATGGTAACTGTGTAAACAAATGAGATACGGAAAACAACGATAGTCGCGCGTAGCAGTAGCGGACTGCTTTATCGGAACGACAATAGTCGCGCGTAGCAGTCTAAGGGTTAAAATATGGCAAAAAAATTTAAAATATTTTCAAATCTTTACTCTGGATATCGTCTTTTGATCATAATAAACTTCTGTTCAATTAATATAAAATTTTCTAGAAGGTTTGACAAAGTTATTGATATCTACAAAAAACTTCCAACCACAACCAAACCTAAATGTTGCCACCAACACTGCTGAAATGTGAGATTGCTATGTCTTGCTTCCTCGTCAAAATGCCACAGGCTTGAAGGACTGAAAGGTTTATTGAGCTATTTTGAAAATATAATAAATTGTGTGGGTCGCATTTAGCTTATTTTTAATTTATAGGTAGAGCAAAACTAACGTACTGTGGATTCAATATTATTTGTGGGATATCAACTGAGGTACACATTTTCTATAGGCTTGAATGGATACTTTGGCAAAACCATGAAATCAAATATAAACAAAAATGCAGTATTACCTGAATCCACGAAAATTGGTATCCACGAAAATAAATGAATCCATGGTATATTGTCAGTGAATGATGAAGGCAGTATTGAATTGCAGACTTATTTATTTGAACTATCTCCAATTGTAGCCCATATGAAGAACCGTTGGATGTGATGCTTTTTCGCTTTGAGAAGTTAATACAGATTGACCAGTTTATGAAGGATCCTTCAGTAAAAACCAAGACATGTTTATTAGGGGCAGTGATCCTGAGAAAATTAATCAAAATTTCCACACAGGTAAAATAATTTTATTTTCAGATTGAATTTAAAATATTTGTTAATGACACCTAGCTATTCATCTCCATATTATGGTAAATAACATACTGAATATTCCAATGACATCAAACATGAGGTAGATCATGGCTTCCATAAAAGTCATATTTTCCGGTCGTGACTTATAGAATTTATTCTTGACTTGCTGGTGTACTGCTTAAGCAGTCATCAAATTTAGATTTGCCACTTTAATATATTTCAGAGAAAAAAAAATAGGAGTAATTACTATAAAATAAGCCCTAATTGAATACCCCCTCACCAAAGTAATTATTACTTTGAAGATAAGTTGGTTGATTGACAGCTAAGATTTACCTGTTAGCCTAACAGGGAAACTATAAAGTATTGGAAATCAATCAATCTTTTTGAAATTGTTAACCACAACTTATCTGATAAAAAAATTCTACATAAGTACAAGTCCGCACATGTGTGAAATTTTATTGTGCATCCAAATACTTTCAATATGATAATAAATGTATTGTTAGATAATTCATACCATGTATCTTATGTTCATTTCAAGTACTGTGGATTCATAATTATTGGTGAGATACCATTTTTCGTGGAATTAGTGGTTATAGGTAAACCACTAATTTAAAAGTTTAACAATCCACAAAATTGGTACCCACAAAACTCAATGAATCCACAGTTTTTACTTGAAGAAATAACGTGGAGAGAATGACTTAAACTCGCTGCTTGACAAAAATACATGGATGTTAGTTTTTGTCTCGCCTGCTACGAATGTCCCAGAAAACTAGACATAGTTGCTGCTTATTAGACGGCTGAGGATGCATCAACAATTGTTAAGTTTTCTGCTAAAGTCAGTTTTATAGGAACTATTTGTGATAGATCAATGATATTTTGTATAAAGTTGCATTACTATCAGTACATATCAGTTTGAAGACTTTATGAGGCCCTTCCCCCTAGGTCAAGGTCCAGTGACTTTCAATTAATAAGCAATTTTCAATGTTAAGTTTTCTGCTTAAGTTAGTTTGATAGTATACCACTTGTGATAGATAAATGATATTTTCTATGAAGTTGTAATACTATCAGTTTGACGACTATTTCAAGGCCCTTCCGCCTAGTACATGGTCAAGCAACTTTAAATTGATTAGCAATGTTGCTGTCCATCAGATTGTCTTATTTCGAATTTTCTGCCAACAGACAAGACATATCTGTCTATTCTGTCTTTGTTCTGATCTTTACTGCTGTCAAGTCAACATCCGGTTTTAGAAAACATTGTGTATTGAAACCAAAGTAAAAATCTTTCAGTGTGTTATTGGGATAAAAAAGAGTTAAGCTCAAATGTAAATCTGCTGATGGTCAAACAACGCACTGTCAGTTGACAGAACTATTAAAGTACAAACTTTATATCAGTTCACAGAATCCATATTGAAAGTACTCATGTTTTCATGTCAGTTATTGTCTGAATGTCCTTGATTCCCCAATGTTTGATTGCCTTAATTTATAAAGTCTAAAGAGATTAAAAATGGATTCGATATTTTTTTTTTTTTGAAAGCCCTGCAGTAGATGCAATTGAATATTTTATAAGAATTGATGTTACTTTAATGTTGCCATGGAATTGTAGGATTAGACTGGTAGATTGGTTGTTGATAGTTTTTAATGATTTATAAGATATTCCTTTCTTTTTCAGTTTTCTAATGTTGGTAGTAGTAAAAATGAAATAGAGGAAAAAGAATCCAACACAGACTGCATAGGTATACATCTAAATTCCCTAACACTATCAATTTTGTTTATATAATCCCCTGCAAACAATGTTTTGGTGATATATAAAAATAACCCAGTCCGTTCGTCTGCATGTCTGTCTGATATTGATGAAACTTTACATAGTTGTAGAACACTTCTTGTGGATGTGTTTAAAGGAAAATACAATCCCAGTCAAACATGTTAAAGGTGAGATAATCATATTTATTTACTTTAATACTAATAATATTGTGGCTCATGAGTATCTTTTTTTGAGTTTGTCAACAGTTCTAGTTTCTGGTTGACTTGATTAAAATTTTTATGCCTCCGCCGTAGCAACAGAGGCATTAAGTGTTACCTTGACTGTCCCTCTGTCCCATTTTTCGTTTCCTCATTCTAACTTAAGTTTGCCTCGTGCAAATTTTTATGAAACTCATACACAATGCTAAAAATCAAAACTTGCAGACAGAGTTTGAATTTGGGCAGCGAGTCATTTACTGTTCAAGAGTTATGCCCCTTTATAACTTGGTAAATTGCTAATTTTTTCGTTTCCACACTCTAACTTAAATTTTACTCATCCACATTTTATGAAACTTGTATACACAATGCTAAGAACCAAAACTAGCAGACAGACTTTGAATTTGGGCAGTGAGTCATTTACTGATCTTGAGTTATGCCCTTTAATAACATGGAAAATTGCAATTTTTTTTGTTTCCACACTCTAATTTAAGTTTGTCTCATCCAAATTTGATGAAACTCTCACAATGCTAAGAAGCACAACATGCAGACAGAGTTTAACTTTGGGTTTTGAGTCATTTACCGTTCTAGAGTTATGTCCCTTTTCAACTTGGAAAGTTGCAAAGCTTGAGCTGGGGCATTCATGTCCTCAGACACATTCTTCTTTTATTTTTTAAATGTTTCTGCTAACCATTAAATACTTGATTAAATATCTATGTTGAAACTTGAACAAAAGCTATGCAGGAAAAAAGAATTATAATTGCACTCTTGAAAGAATATTCTAGAAATCAAACTCCTTGTTACTGGCCAATATCAAGGAAAATCTCAAACAATATCATATGAACCTAACTTATCATTGTAACAATAGGTGATTGACTGAAATGTATCTGTCTTTGAATGGACAATTAAAGTGATGGGTCAAGCCAGATTGTTTGAATGCTGAATCCTGATCAGATATAGATGAATACAATATTTTTAGCATTTGTCAAGTTTTCACATTATTTGTTACAGATGTAGATATTTCTGACATGTTACCAGATGTTGAGGATATTCCAGATGAAATCATAGAAGTCTATAAACAATCAGAGGTTAGTCAGAAATATCCAAATCGGTAATATTTGATTTTGACATCTTGTATGTTTCAATCTTATCATTAACATGTAATTTGAGAAAAAACTCAAGTTTGCCTTCTAAATCAAGATTCCTTTAAGACATTGTAAATGTATGTTGATTTCATGAAGGAAAAGTCCTTGTCTACAATGCAACTGAGATCTAATTAACAATATTTGTATTAACTGGAAGCAATATCCCATGAAAAAGAAAGTTTTTAGGAAAAAATGAAGGCATATATAAGAATATCAGAATCCCATTGACAAAAATTATTTTTGCATCACATGAAACCTTCCAAAATTATCTTACTCCAGCTCGTATAACCATTGTGTAGTTCGAAATTGAGCCCAATGCTAGAGCTATTAATTAATTTTCCTCGAGAATATGCAACACACTATTTAATAGTTTTAAGTGGCTACACTATAGATAGAATACAACCAAAAAAAATTGATATGTAGAAGGTATATGGAATAACTCATTATTTCTATGTGTACAAGCAAGTTTTTGTGGTAAAACTTTTGTATGACTGGAACCTACATAACCTATTTTATCTGGTTCAACATTTCTCAGTACTAAAATAATGTCCTGCTTTAAATTGAAATGTTTGACCAGTTGACATATACGAAACAACACTTTTTTTATGCAAAAATATTTGGTAACAAATAGTTGAGTTTTAGTGCTAATTAAACGAGAGAAGGTTAATGGTTGTGATTGCTCCAATCTAACCAAAGTTTAAAACATTTTAGCAAAGAAGACACTTAAATGTGCAATAATCATTTTCAGAGCTCAATACAAGCCTTTACCAGACGATCAGAAATAATAATTGGCCACTGTAATAATGAATTTCCCTATTAAATTAATACATTTACCGGTATGTCATGTATGTCATTAGATAAAACTGTTAGTGATATATATCTCCTAAAAAGATTTCCCTTTTTTCAGAGAGCTAAAAATATTACAGGAATTATACTTTACTTGGAGTTATTCTGTGATGGCAGTTGCAGATCAAATAGATATTTAAAAAAAAAATCTTTATAAATATGCTAAAGAAGAATTATTTTAATTTAGGTGCCAGAATTTCCAGACATGGACAAATGGGTTCAGATGAATTTAAAAGAATATTTGATGAATCTACTTCATGCTTACAACTGTCAACAGAAAAAAATCAATTGTAACGACCAAATATGTAAACAATTGAAGTCTCTCCTGACACATATGCAATCCTGCACAGACGGAAGATTATGTAAAAGTATTTGTTGTTTTTTTATAAATTTGTTACACAAATCAAAACAGTAGCTTTAAACAATAATTCATAAAAAAAATATGTCTATATTGTTAATTTTTTTTAAATGAAGCATTTCAGATTGTTGTGCCATAAAAGAATGTGTTTTTCTTGTTGATAATCAGAATGATAATTTCCATATTTTATAATCTTTACAATAACTTAGAGAGAAAAAGTATATTGTTTATATGCCCAGGGTTTTAGCTAGGATTTTGAGGGCTTTAGTCACTTTTGCAAGAGATGTAAATCAACCTTATTTTGGGTAACAGCAAGGGACCCAGGACGTATATTACTAGCTATACATCTTTGAAGGACTTAGGCATGCTAAGCAGTTATTGCATGATTTGACTGATGTGGTGCTTAAATATGCAGATTAGAACAAGGATCAGGAAATCTAGTTCACAATTTCACTTCAGTTATTTTTAGGAGACATTTCTGATCTACAACAGTTTGGTTCTTTTTTTTTAAAACCAGGAATTACAGCATTAATGAACTTATAACGACTATTTTACTGAATAATCATTATTCCTGTTAAAACTTTTAATTCAATATTTGAAATTCATTTCATAAACTTGGAACCAAGGATTTGTACAAATCCTTGTTGGAACGATTCTAATGACTGTATATTGTAAATTTATCAAGAATAGATCATGTTTACTTTTGATTTTTCAACCAAATACAAACGGAAAGTGACAAGAGGATAATAAATTCAGATTGAATCCGGATTCATTTATGGATTAGTTCGTGTTTAACAAAAGGCAGGAAATTATCATTTTTAATTAATTTGCGTAATAAGAAATATATTTGTCTCTCTCATTAAATTTGATACTAAATGATTTCGTATTTCACGTTTGAGTGTCTAGTTTATAAGAATACCTTGAATATATGTGTAGAAGTAAAGAAACGCGTTTGACTTGTGAAAATATTTCTGAATGTTTTGATTAAAGTTCTATCTTTTTAATTGAAATTGTTGAAAGTTTTTGATGAAAAGTTATATATATATAAAAATATGACGAGAGTAGGTTCATATGACAAAACTACAACAAAATGAACTGCAAATTGTGATTGTTTGAGAAATATTGAAATTAAAATGTGAACTGTTCTTGGGAAAACAATTATGGTTAAATGACCAAACTACGATAAAGGAACTGCAAATTGTGGTTGTTTGAGTAATATTGAAATTGAAATGCCGACTGACCGATTTTACTGGGAAAAACAATTATGATGGTCAGTTATGAGGTTTATGAATTAATGGATTAGTGACCCATCGGATAAGCGGATTACCTGTAATCACAACTTTGTAAACATTAATTAGCTGAGGGTCATAAACTTGTCAGAAACATGAAAATAGGTAGAATTATAGTATTTTCATGTGAAAATATTTTTACACTTTCCAAATTTAAGTGATGAAATTGATTTGAAATACTTTCATCATTTTGAAAACTGTTTCGAAAATGAGGGGCGCTAACTAAATCACTGATATGCCCCACCTATGATAGTTCAAGGGTATTATACTTTCTGGTCTTTGTGTCCATCTGTCTATTGGTCATCTGTTTGTCCATCCACCAAGTATCATTTTAAATTTTTTGGTTACAGTTAGTTTTCCATGAAACTTTGGTCACATCAACTTGAAACTTAGTTTACATGTTCATTTTGAGTTTACTTTTTAAAATAAATGACAATTCTGACCTGATTTCAGTGTTCACAGAACATGGACAAAGGATAGTTCAAGTGTGGCGTGGTGTCCCATTAACTCATATTCTTGTTTTTTTCAGACAAAGAATGCTTTAGGAGTAGGCTAATGTTACAACACTGGAACAGTTGTAACAGAGTTGAGTGTTTAGTATGTTCTCCATTAAAAACAAAAGTCGTGATGGCAAGTGTGATGAACTTTGGTCATGCGAAGTGTGACATGTGTAAATTGATAAGAAAGAATTACTGCCATTATACATGTACTCTTCCATGTTTGATGTGTGCTGCTGGGAAGACTATAACAGTTAAAGAAAAAGATGGCAGCTTCTGCTTGCATTTCATACGTCAGCTCAGTGGTGAAGATTGTTCTGGCCACACATGTAGATACTGTCATCACATGAAGAATACTGAGTCGGGAACAAATTCCAAGTCAACAACATGCTTAACAATTTGTGACAAACCAAACTCCTGTCGACTTTGTTCCAATGAATCGTCACTAAATAAAATAACATTAGGTAAGGGCTATTCCATTAAGAAGGATGTGGAATGGTAGGAAGGTCATTTTTATACCCCTGTCTGTCTTTGATTTGTCTGTTTGTCTACTCGTCTGTTTGTCCATTCCGCTTTGTGTCAGGCGCATATGTTTTGTAGGATTGAACTTATGTTGGCCAAACATGGTATGCTGATAAATCATGGGATGGGTATTTTGTCTTCTATCAAAATCAGGTAACTCTGACCTTGACTTTGACCCCTATGATAGTAAAACATTGTCGGATATGTGTTCATTGCATACCTATTGTACTGTAGAACTTAGAGATTGACTTGTTTGTATGATATTTGACCTTGAAATGTTCTGCTGGAGAAAAAGTCCACTAATTTTAAACACAGATGTAGAATAAAATATGAAGTATATAAAGTTTGGTCCACCCTTATTATACTGTCATAAATTTTTAAATGAGTTAGGTAAAACCTAATGGAAATACTGGAAATTCAGAAACTGAAATCACATTTATTAAGACTCACATTTGGGACGGTCATCAGGGATTCGCAATTTTAAATGGATGCATTTATATCTGAATTTCAGTATACAAACCTTAGACTTTGTTCCTGAGTATAGTTCTGTCAGATTGACCTATCAGTAACGATGTGTTAACCTAATACAAAGGCAATGGTTATATAAAATGAATGACTGAAAGCTTAATATTTCAAAATGTCATTTTCTCAAAACTGAATTACACAGCAACAACTACAAAGGATGTACAAGGGGTGTGGGTATTAGTCATGCTATGCGGACAGCTCTAGTCATATTTGAACATGGGTCATTGGTAATTTTTGATTGTATGCAAACTTAATGTATGGTTGTGGGTGTATTTTGGAAGATCCTTCCTACGCTCCAACATCAATTTTGATTAAGCAATCCTAAGGATAAAAATGATGTAAGCTATTGATATTTTATTTTTGGACTAATTATTGACAAACATTTGAGATTTATTGTTCAGATAACTCAAATTTACGCAGACAAGTAATGCTATCTAAATTAAGAATAAGATTTTTATACGCCCGTCAATTTTTGACGGGACGTATTATGGTATACAAATGTCCTCTGTCCCTCCGTCTGTCCGTCTGTCTGTCTGGCGTAAACATGTCGCACCGTAACTTGAGAATGACTTATCCAAATTTCATGAAACTTAACATAGTTGTTTCTTATGATGGTCAAACGATCTGTATACTTTTTGGTGAAAATAAGATTAAAACTTTTTGAGTTACAGGACTTAGTTACTAAAACAGGTGTGTGTTTTTTTATACGCCCGTTTACGGGACGTATTATGGTATACCGTTGTCCGTCTGTCCGTCCGTCCGTCCGTCCGTCTGTCCGTCCGTCTGTCCGTCGTCAACATGTCGGACATTAACTCAAAAATGCTTTAACCAATTTGCATAAAACTTTGGTGAATTGTTTATATCTATTGACGTGAGCTCCCTTTCGTTTTTTATAAAATTTAGATTTTACGTTTCCGAGTTATGGGGTTTTATTCATTAAAAAAAGGGGGATTTTCCAGTTTTCAGACAATAAGTCAAGAATGCTTTCACCAACTTGCAAGAAATTGTGATGAATTGTTTATATCTATTGACATGAGCTCCCTTTCCATTTTTATAAATTTTAAATTTTACGTTTCTGAGTTACAGGGTTTATTCATAAAAAAAGGGGGGATTTTCCAGTTTTTGGACAAAAACTCCAAAATTCTTTCAGCAATTCGTATGAAACTTTGGTGAATTGTTTGTATGTATTGATGTAAGCTCCCTTTAGAATTTTGTAAATTTTACATTTTACATTTCTGAGTTATGGGGTTTTATTCATTAAAAAAAGGGGTGATTTTCCAGTTTTCGGACAATAACTCAAAAATGCTGTCACCAATTCTCATGAAGCTTTGGTGAATTGTTTATATCTATTGATGTAAGCTCCCTTTTTATTTCCATAAATATGACATTGAGAATTAATTGAACTTTATTTGTTTATAGTCTGACAACAGATTTACTAAGTATTGGGGACTATTGCACAACAGCAAGAAATCTTTAATTGAATATAAATTCAATTCATATAACCAATTTTAAGTTCTTTGACTACATTTATTCAGAAACCTATAATATGTCAAATATTTAATTACAATCCAAATTCAGACCTGAATCAAGCTTGAATATTGTGTCCATTTTTGCCCCAACTGTTCAGGGTTGGACCTCTGCGGGCGTATCTAGCTGCGCTCAGCGAAGCAGTTTATTTCACATGTCACGCCGTATCTCAAAAACAATTTAGGATTATTGCTTAAAACTTTACACACTTCTTAGTTATATTAATATTAAGATCTGTATACTTTTTGGTGATGATTCAAAATTTTATTTTAGAGATATTGAGTATTTTGTTAAAAAAGGGGGAGGGGTTTTTCACATGTCGCGCCGTATCTCAAAAACGATATATGATTATTGCTTAAAATTTTACACACTTCTTATTTATATTAATCTTAAAATCTGTATACTTTTTGGTTTTGATTCAAAATTTTATTTTTGAGAGGTTGATTTTTTTTTTTTTTAAAGGGGGGTTTTCGCATGTCGCGCCGTATCTCAAAAAAGATTTATGATTATTGCTTAAAATTTTACACACTTCTTAGTTTTATTAATCTAAAGATCTGTATACTTTTTGGTTTTGATTCAAAATTTTATTTTAGAGATATTGAGTTTTTTGTAAAAAAAAAAAGGGGGTTTTCGCATGTCACGCCGTATGTCAGAAACTATTTATGCTTATTGCATAAAAATTCACACACAAGACGACGGGCGTATCATGCGCTCATGGCGCAGCTGTTTATTGTTATGTGGAACCCATCCTTTTGCAATTTTCTCAAAAATATTTTTTTTAATTTACAGTAGTAATTATTGAACATTTTGCATGCTTTTAAACGATTAAATAATACCCACATTTGTTTTACAGACACGGAGATAGTGACAGAATTTATGGTGAAAAAGGACCAAACTTATGGGTCTGCATACAGGGTTTTGGGACTACAAGGTTTTGGCAAGGGCATCCAATCAGATTACAAAGCCAAAGGTAAAACTTTGTACTGTAGTAATTATACCCCACGCAATGAGTTGCGGAGGGTATAATGTTTTTGACCCGTCCGTCTGTCCGTCAGTCCGTCTGTCCGTCCGTCCGTCCGTCAGTCCGTCAGTCCTGTTTCTTGTCATCGCAACTCCTCTCAAACCACACAACAGAATTTCACGAAACCTTTTTAGATAATAAGGACATACTATGTAGTTGTGCATATCGACAGGAAATTACGATTCTATTTTTCTTCTAGGAGTTACGCCCCTTTGAACTTATTTACTTTAATGTACTACTGCAACAGTTTGTCATCGCAACTCCTCTCAAACCACACAACAGAATTTCATGAAACCTTTTCAGATAATAAGGACATACAACGTAGATGTGCATATCGACAGGAAATAACGATTCAGTTTTTTTTCCAGGAGTTACACCCTTTGAACTTATTTGCCAAATATACTACTGCAACCTTTTGTCATCGCAACTCCTCTCAAACCACACAACAGAATTTCATGAAACCTTTTCAGATGATAAGGACATACTACGTAGATGTGCATATCGACAAAAAATTACGATTCAATTTTTTTTCCAGGAGTTATGCCCCTTTGAACTTATTTGCCAAATATACTACTGCAACCTTTTGTCATCGCAACTCCTCTCAAACCACACAACAGAATTTCATGAAACCTTTTTAGATAATAAGGACATACTATGTAGTTGTGTATATCGACAGGAAATTACGATTCATTTTTTTTTCTTAGTGTTATGCCCCTTTGAACTTATTTGCTTCAATGTACTTTTGCAACAGTTTGTCATCACAACTCCTCTGAAACCACACAACAGAATTTCATGAAACTTTGTAGATAATAAGGACATACTATGTAGATTTGCATATTGACAGGAAATTATGATTCAATTTTTAGCTCACCTGGCCCGAAGGGCCAAGTGAGCTTTTCTCATCACTTGGCGTCCGTCGTCCATCGTCATCTGGCGGCGTCGTCCGTCGTCGTCGGCGTAAACTTTTTACATTTTGAACTTCTTCTAGAGAACCACTAAATGGAATGAAACCAAACATGGCATGAATGTTTCTTATGAGGTGCTGACCAAGTGTTATTACTTTGTAGCCGATCTATCATCCAAGATGGCCGCCAGCGGGGCACTTAGTTTAACATAGGACCCTATGGGAAATGCATACAAATGACTTCTTTTAGAGAACAACTGAATGGAATGAAACCAAACATGGCATGAATGTTCCTTATGAGGTGCTGACCAAGTGTTGTTACTTTGTAGCCGATCCATCATCCAAGATGGCCGCCAGCGGGGAACTTATTTTAACATAGGACCCTATGGGAAATACATACAAATGTCTTCTTTTAGAGAACCACTGAATGGAATGAAACCAAACATGGCATGAATGTTCCTTATGAGGTGCTGACCAAGTGTTGTTACTTTGTAGCCTATCCATCATCCAAGATGGCCGCTAGCGGGGGACTTAGTTTAACATAGGACCCTATGGGAAATACATAAAAATGTCTTCTTTTAGAGAACCAATAAATGGAATGGAACCAAACATGGCATGAATGTTCCTTATGAGATGCTGACCAAGTGTTGTTACTTTGCAGTCGGTCCATCATCCAAGATGGCCCCCAGCGGGGGACTTAGTTTAACATAGGACCCTATGGGAAATACATACAAATGTCTTCTTTTAGATAACCACAGAATGGAATGAAACCAAACATGGCATGAATGTTCCTTATGAGGTGCTGACCAAGTGTTGTTACTATTAAGCGGATCCATAATCCAAGATGGCCGCCAGCGGGGAACTTAGTTTAACATAGGACCCTATGGGAAATACATACAAATGTCTTCTTTTAGAGAACCACTGAATGGAATGAAACCAAACATGGCATGAATGTTCCTTATGAGGTGCTGACCAAATGTTTTTACTTTGCAGTCGGTCCATCATCCAAGATGGCCGACAGCAGGGGACTTAGTTTAACATAGGACCCTATGGGAAATACATACAAATGTCTTCTTTTAGAGAACCACTGAATGGAATGAAACAAAACATGGCATGAATGTTCCTTATAAGGTGCTGACCAAGTGTTGTAACTTTGCAGTCAGTCCATCATCCAAGATGGCTGCCAGCGGGGGACTTAGTTTAACATAGGACCCTACGGGAAATACATACAAATGTCTTCTCTTAGAGAACCAGTGAATGGAATGAAACCAAACATGGCATGAATGTTCCTTATAAGGTGCTGACCAAGTGTTGTTACTTTGCAGCCGATCCATCATCCAAGATGGCCGCCAGCGGGGGACTTAGTTTAACATAGGACCCTATGGGAAATACATACAAATGTCTTCTTTTAGAGAACCACTGAATGGAATGAAACCAAACATGGCATGAATGTTCCTTATGAGGTGCTGACCATGTGTTGCTACTTTGTTACTGATTTACTGTTCAAGATGGCCACCAGGATATTTCATTAAATAACGGGACCAATATTAATCCAAATTTGGCCTCAATCATTATTATTTGGGTATCTGTTATGATTTTTATCTATCTTTACATGATTTCTAAAACCAAAGTAGAGTCAGGTGAGCGACACAGGCTCTTGAGAGCCTCTAGTTTTTTCTTATACAATTTTTTTTTCTTACAGTTATTTTATTTCTCCAATGACAATGTGGGGACGTGGGGTATGTGAGCGCGCTCACTAAGATTCTTTATTAGTTCTTTTAACATAGACGTTAATGAATATAATATAGTTTAAGATAGGATTAACCACATTTTGCCTCCTGAGACTAAGTCGTTGACGCAAGACTATAGCATGCCGTTTCCAGTGTTTGCAATTTCAGTTATTGTTTAATTGGTGATTAGGTTAGTTTAAGGGAAGTAATTGTAAGTCCATGATATTTGGTATACAGTATAATTACAAATTACATTTCCTTGGAGATAAATTTGCGATGGTTGATTGACTTTTTATATGACCGCAAAAAAATTTTGCGGTTGTATATTGGTATGACTTTGGAGTCGTCATCGTCGTCCGAAGACACATTGGTTTTCGCACTCTAACTTTAGTTTAAGTGAATGGATCTCTATGAAATTTTACCATAAGGTTCAATACCACAAAAGGAAGTTGGGATTGATTTTGGGGGTTATGGTACCAACAGTTAAGGAATAAGGGGCCAAAAATAAGCATTTTTGTAACTTCCAAACATAACTTGTGTGTTAGTGTATGGATCTCTCTGACATTGTACCACAAGGTTCCATATCACAAAGGGAAGGCTGGGATTGATTTTGGGGGTAATTGCCTCAACATATTAGGAATTAGGGGCCAAAAAAGGGGCAAAAAACAAGCATTTTTCTAGTTTCATGACAATAACTTAAGTGTAAGTGTATGGATCTTTCTGAAATTGTACTACAAGGTTCCATATCACAAAGGGAAAGCTGGAATTGAGTTTGGGGGTAATTGCCCAAAACATTTAGGAATAAGGGGCCAAAAGTAAGCATTTTTCTAGTTTCCAGACAATAACTTGTGTTCAAGTGTATGGATCTCTCTGAAATAGTACTGCAAGGTACCATACCACAAAGGGAAGGCTGGGATTGATTTTTGGGGTAATCGCCTAAAAATTTTAGGAATTGGGGCCAAAAAGGGGCAAAAAACAAGCATTTTTCTAGTTTCAGGACAATAACTTGTGTGTAAGTGTATGGATTTTATGAAATTGTACTACAAGGTTCCATATCACAAAGGGAAAGCTGGGTTTGAGTTTGGGGGTAATTGCCCTAAACGTTTAGGAATTTGGGGCCAAAAAGGGGCCTAAAAACAAGCATTTTTCTAGTTTCCAGACAATAACTTGTGTTCAAGTGTATGGATCTCTCTGAAATTGTACTGCAAGGTACCATACCACAAAGGGAAGGCTGGGATTGAGTTTGGGGGTGATGAATCATAAGGGGGTTCAAAAATGTGGGGGAGGGATTTTTTTTTCCTTTTTTTTTCTTTAAAATTTTCCATTTTAAATTGGTTATTTCTGATTTATATATAAAAGCAAATAATAATGATATGGTTTGAATAGGTAAATTAAAAAATTTTAAGTTCTTAGACCTCATTCATTCTGTGTATGAAACCTATGCTGTGTCAAATATTTAATCACAATCCAAATTCAGTGCTGTATCAAGCTTGAATGTTGTGTCCATACTTGCCCCAACTGTTCAGGGTTCGACCTCTGCGGTCGTATCAAGCTGCGCCCAGTGGAGCATTTTATTTGTATTGAATACGACCTCATCTAAAAGACTTTGACATTTTTGCATTCAATTTGTTTACCATGACATGTCATTGATGACTTTCAAAGGTCAAATGAGACTCCTTTTCCTCAATGGCCTCATAGATAAGTGGTATCTCTTTAAAACATTTATAACTCTTAACTTTTTTCACCAAAAATATTGTCCTATTAAATTTCCTTAAGAAGCATACAATAAACAACTGATGACTGAAGCAGAACTATAACTTCAAACTGTGTGTTGATTTAAAAGTTTCACTAAACAAATGAAATTGTGACCGTTAGATAAAATGTACGTTTACCACAAGGTGATATTGATTCAAGTTTTTACATGCACTTCAACTGCATTTGTAATCACCTGCATGTATTTCAACAAAAAATTATACATACCAGGAAATTCTTAATAAGCACACAGGGAAAAAACTATATAAACAGTATTTTGTCTATATTGAAAATTTTAGTCTTTCTTTTTTTAAATGACAAAATTTTTATCTGGTCTAATGATATATTTTTATATATTAATATTTTCAGAGACTAGTAAAAGTCAGTCACCATGTAGGGCTGGTGGGAGGAATAAAAAGTTAAAGGTAGACAATGCTACTGGTTGGAAAGATGAAGTAACTTTTGGTTTTAGGAATCACTTTATTGGTAAAATGTAAGTTTGTTGCAACTAAACCCATGCAAATGTAAACCAGGTTTACTGTAAACCCATGCAAATGTAAACGAGGTTTACTGTAAACCCATGCAAATGTAAACCAAGGGTCCGGAAACGGTCATATATGCCAGTCATGTCCCAAGATGAAATTATTTGTCCTAAATGAGTAATTGGGATTTAGGATAAATTTAATTTTTTTAAAGAAGTAATTTCGGTCATTTCATTGACTCAATATTTGAAATCGGATTTCTTAGTCGCCATTTTGCACTGTCTTGTGTAAGTTGTGATCACTTGTTTTTGTTTATAATCCCTTTCCTGTAATAAAACTGCCACTCCAGTAGTTTGATAATCCTGAGGGCCCTCCTAATATCTATATCAATGCCTCCGGGAAACATTGGCTAATGATCGCTAATCACTTTTTACCTGTGGTTTTAATTCACACCTGAAGTGATCACAAGCCCAGTATAATATCTTAACAAAAATTGAAATTCCCTGACAAGTGTACTCATTATTTAATTACTTTTCAGCAAAGACAATCATCAAATCTGATTTAAAAATTAAACCTAAATTTACGGAGAAAAAAGTATTTTTTTCATGTGCTTTATTTACTTATAATACGCATGCGTGAAATTGTCTTCAGTAAATTTATATTTAATCGTAAAATCAAATGCAATTTGATTTCATGCTGAATTATACGAGTGCAACTATTGTCTGTTACATTCAAACACTTTTAAAGGTAATAAAATAAAAAAGCCATAAAGAGTCGTGGATTTCCTGTCAATTTGATAAACAAAACAAATCCCGGAAATGAATCCGGAATTATTCGTACTTTAACTTTACCGCAAACTTCCGGTTTTAACTTTTGTCAAATCAAAAGAAACGTAAGCAATGTCCGAGAGATTTACCATTTTGAGTCATTAAAATCATTTCAATTTTAAACTATTGCCTTCCCTAAACTGTTCTTCATGGTAATGGTAAGACATTTCCTTAGTAAATGCGAAGAAACAACAATACAAGTTCGTTGATGCTATGAATTTAGTCAAGTTGACATCGACAATTTGGAAAGGGGCATCAACTTTTCAATCATCTCAAAATGACCGAAATTGTGTGGAAAAATTTCTGAATCCTTGCTCTAAACCCATGCAAATGTAAACCATGTTTACTTGCAAGAAGTCAGTTCTATTCTTAATTCTATCAAGAGCTGTTCCTAAAGACATAAGGTGTTGAAACCAAACTTTCTGAGGAGGAACAATGGTAATATAAGGTATGGTCAATAAAAAAAGTTGTTCTACCTGAGTAATATTGATTTGAGTACCTTAAGATTGTTTTATTTATTCATTAATTTTTAAAATGAAGTAACACGTTGTAAGAAAATTGTTTTTCACATGAAAGAATTCGGTTATAGATTTATGTAAGAATCAAATTTATGTCCATCCTCAAATCTGTGTCTTTAATCAAATCTATGTTGTAGCTTGTATTGGGTCATAGATGTCTCAAATCCATGCCCTTTCACCAAGTACGTTTGAAATACATGTGAATGCAACTTTTTGTTTCATATGTATGTTCAGCTCAAAATGTTTTACTTATCATTTTAAGCTCACCTGGCCTGAAAGGCCAAGTGAGCTTTTCTCATCACTTGGCGTCCGTCGTCATTGTCGTCTGTTAACTTTTACAAAAATCTTCTGCTCTGAAACTACTGAACTAAATTTAACCAAACTTGGCCACAGTCATTATTGGGGTATCTAGTTAAAAAAGTGTGACTGACGACCCCACCTGCCAAACAACATGGCGGCCATAGCTAAAAATAGAACATAGGGGTAAAATGCAATTTTTGGCTTATATCTCTGAAACTAAAGCATTTAGAGTAAATCTGACATGGGGTAAAAATGTTCAACAGGTTTAGATCTATCTGCCCTGAAATTTTCAGACGAATCAGACAACCTGTTGTCGGGTTGCTGCCCCTGAATTAGTAATTTTAAGGAAATTTTGCAGTTTTTGGTTATTATCTTGAATATTATTATAGATAGAGAAAAACTGTTAGCAGCAATAATGTTTAGCAAAGTAAGATCTACAAATAAGTCAACATGACCAAAATTGTCAATTGACCCCTTAAGGAGTTATTGCCCTTTATAGTCAATTTTTAACAATTTTTCGTAAATTTTTGTAATCTTTTACAAAAATCTTCTCTGAAACTACATAGCCAAATTCAACCAAACTTGGCCACAATCATCATTAGGGAATCTAGTTTAAAAAGTGTGTCTGATGACCCCACCTCCCAACCAACATGGCCGCCATGACTAAAAATAGAACATCAGGGGTAAAAATGTTCAACAGGTTTAGATCTATCTGCCCTGAAATTTTCAGACGAATCAGACAATTTGTTGTTGGGTTGCTGTCCCTGAATTGGTAATTTTAACTAAATTTTGCAGTTTTTGATTATTATCTTGAATATGATAATAGATAGAGAAAAACTGTATATAGCAATAATGTTCAGCAAAGTAAGATCTACAAATAAGTCAACATGACCAAAATTGTCAATTGACCCCTTAAGGAGTTATTGTCCTTTAAAGTCAATTTTTCACAATTTTTCTTTAATTTTTTGTAATCTTGGTTGGGTTAGCTGAGGTCAGGGGAACGAACCCCTGCCAAAATTTTTTGTTGAGGCCTTTAATAAATAAAATTTCATTTGTTTGGTATTGCCGCCCGACCCACTGAAAAAATTTTATGTGCGCTTCAGAAATTTATATTTTTTTTATTTAAAAAAAAATCGAAATTGTGCTGGAATTTGATCGTATCGGCCGAGTTTGTTCCTGGCTTTACTTATTTCAAATCACGATCTTAAAAGCACTTGCCTTACACTGTATTGGGAGCAAACATTTAAATGACATGGAATAGAAAAAGTCTGCCAAAAGTAATGTCAAATACGCCGGCAGGGGGAATCATCTCCCTATGCTACAATGCATTGGTCAAGGGAGATGGATTTTATCAAAAAATCAAATTTTCAGCTATTCTTTGAAAGAAACATTCTGAGAGACCTTGTAGAGGACTCAAATTTTATCTTTTGTAAAGCAGAAACAGTTGATGTCTGCTTGACTTTGTCGCTTCATGAGATAAAGCTTTTCACCGGGACATCACAGAACAAATATGCGTGGCTCTTACATTTGTTGAATTTATTAAATATTTGAAATTTATCATTGACAAATTTTCCCTTGAACCAGAGAACAAAGTATCTACTATAGTCAGAACCACAATGATGCATTCAAGATAATTATGGCTGAAAGCACCAAAGCTAAAAGACCAAAATGCTCCCAGATTTACAGGTTTATAGTAGTTTTGTACCAGTAGATGCTAGCCTGGTACAAAACATACATATTTTAAAGACTAGCATCTTGTGTCAATTGAAGTTCTTCCCCCTTTTCTTGCCTTTCTTCTTAACATGAATAAGATAATTCTTAAAACATAAAAGATACTGACAGAAACATATTTATAAATATATCTAGTGTACTAGTGATGAATAAAATCCCCTCCTTTTCCACAATTCTAAGGGCTCATTAATTTATCTGTATTCATGTAATGCATGTCCAGATTTCTGTTAATCAAACAAGCATAATTTATTTATCTGCAAAAATTGTCTATCCTGCTGCATATTTCTATTTTGAATTTATCATACGTTTTAAACCTAGACCTGAAAAACCTTACAATTGGATAATATTAGTATAAACACCATGTCTATTTGTGCCAACCTTCCAAATTTTTAATATTTTGCTATCCTAATTTGGTACAGATCCTTTTAAATATCCTCAAAACTTATCAGGGGCAGTAGGCGTGTTTGTATGGTAGTTTGTCACACCTGACATGTATGATTACTAGCCTCTAGGTGTTGGTTTGAGCCCTAGTTGGGCAGTTGCAAAATTAAGGTTTGATTTTCATGTCATATGTGATAAGGTTAGTCGGTTTCCTCTGGCAGGTTGGCACTTTCCTTCAAGTACTACAGTTTAGTACGCCAACACATAGGCGGATCCAGGGGGGGCCCGAGCCCCCCCCTTTTTCGTGGGAAAAATTGGGTTGATTATATAGGGAATCGCTGAAGCGTGACTGGAGCCCCCCCCCCCCTTAGGTCAGTCAGCGGGCCCCCTTTCAAAAAGTTCTGGATCCGCCACTGCACTAACAAAACTGACTGCCATGAAATTACCCATATGGTGTAGAAAGTGATGTTTATAAAACCAAAGCAAACAATCAAAGTTTTAAATCATTGTCTATTTGAACAAGGAGCTGTAGTGGTTGAGCCATTTAAAATATGGTAATTTTACCAAACTGTGACCACAACTTCAAGATGTGACATCTGCAGGTCTCTGTTCAATGGGCAGTCCCACAATTAAAGTTCAATTTTCACGTCATACATTTTATATGGTTAATTTGTCGGTTTACTGCCTCAGTCTGTTTTTTTTCTGGGTACTTTGGTTAACTCTGCCAATAAAACTGACTGTCTTACATGAAATTATCCATATGATGTAGAATGTGACATTGACGGTTGACCCCTTTCAAAGAAACCATCAGCATGTACACACAACAATGCTGCAATGCTTTAGACATCATTGATCTAGAGACTTCATGATTTACATGTATAAAGCTTTTAAATATAAAAAAAAATAATTTCCCTACCTTCCTACCCACCTGCTGATAGTGTGGGTCGGCAATGCCAAACAATCAATTTTTTAAGGGTGGCCTGAAGGGTGTTCCAAAAAAACATTTTAAGGCATTTTCAGCATTATACAGGCCTTGGTGGATTCAATTAAGCTTCATTTTTAAACTTTAAACACTTTGAAAACCATAATTGTTAGGAATATAGCATTAGAAATATTATTGTTGCATTGTATAATATATCAATTTTATTTAAAAAGATAACAGGTGAGTGACACAGGCTCCTCGGAGCCTCTAGTTTTTACTGAATTTGTTGGACTTAATATTGTTTGCTTAACCAGTAATGGTTAAAGGTTTGCTTACTTATGAAAATAAGTTCATAACTTGTAAAAGATTTGAGTTTGTGCAAAAGTTTTAAAATAAAAAATTTGTTAACTCGAAAAATAATGTCTGATAGACCTTTAAAAATAAATATTTATACTTCAAGGATTTAAGAATAAAATTATCTCTCATTTAGAACAGCAATTGTAACTAACACATGGTGACCAATTTGTATATTGTCTCGCCTTGACGGAGTCAAAAAGCGAGACATAGATATGCTGTCGGCTGCGACGGCGGTGTCAACAATGTATTAGTTTGTGATTAGGTCTAGTTCATGGTGAACCACTAGTGGTAGGTCAGTGATATTTGGTCTGGAGTTGTATTAGCATTGGCACATCTCATTACCATGGAGATTGTTTGGCCCCGCCCCCTCAGTCAAGTTCTACTGACTTTGAAACTTTGCTTAGTTTACTAACCCGAATAATTCATTCTTTATATTCCACTGCTCTACGATGGCTACATTAACGCCTGAAGGCCTTGTCAATAAAAAATCATCAAATAATCATTCGGAATTAGCTCGGGATTTACCCATCTCGATAACATTGAGCTATTAGCTGATTGGCTCTCTCTCACAGAGAGCACCAATCAAAATCCTGGATTCGTGACGTGTTTTTATTGTATAAAGAATTCAGGCCCTCGCGAGTGGGAGAGTCGATCACGGGGAGGGACTGAATTATTCGGGTTACTTAGTTTACATGTATTAGGTCAGTTTATGGGGAACCACTAGTGGTAGGTCAATGATATTTGGTATGCAGTTGTATTAGCATTGGCTTATCTCATTACCATGGAGATTATTTGGCCCCGCCCCCTCAGTCAAGGTCTATTGACTTTGAAACTTTGCTTAGATTTCATGTATTAGTTTGTGATTGGGTCAGTTTATGGGGAACCACTAGTGGTAGGTCAATGATATTTGGTATGCAGTTGTATAGGCATTGGCATATCTCATTTCCATGGAGATTATTTGGCCCCGCCCCCTCATTCATGGTCTATTGACTTTGAAACTTTTGCTTAGTTTTCATGTAGTAAGTTTGTGATTAGGTCAGTTTAAGGGGAACTGTTAGTGGTAGGTCAATGATAATTGGTATGCAGTTGTATAAGCATTAGCACATCTTATTTCCATGGGGAATATTTGGTCCTTACCCCTCAGTCATGGTCTATTGACTTTGAAACTTTTACTTAGTTTACATGTATTAGTTTGTGATTAGGTCAGTTTAAGATGAACCACTAATGTTAAGTCAATGATATTGGAAGTTTCATTTCCATGGAGATTATATAACCCCCACCCCCTAATTATGGTTCATTGACTTTGAAACTTTTACATAGTTTACAAGTTAATGTTTGTGTTTAGGTTTGTTTAAAGGGAACAACTTATGAAAAGTCAATGGTATTTGGTTTGCAGTTGTATTAGCATTGGCACATCTCATTTCCATGGAGATTGTTTAGCCCTGTACCTTCAGTCATGGTTCATTGACTTTGAATATTTGCATAACTTACATGTTAAAGTATTGCTATTTTAATTTCAACATTTGCATTATCAAAATAACAAATAGGCGAGACATATCTCTGTGTTAACAGTTTATGAAATGAAAGTTTTGAACAGCATTTTTTCCCAAATGTTCAAACCAATTATACAGCTCAGGTTTTATACTATGAATAAATACTTTGTTTTTAATCATTACCATTAAGTATGGGTAACTTTTCCCCTATTTTCAGTGTACAGACATTATTACCAGTATTGTCACAGACAGGTATGATAGTGATTAATGTACCTTTTCCCCTATTTTCAGTGTACAGGCATTGTTACCAGTATGGTCACAGACAGGTATGATAGTGTTTAATGTACCTTTTCTCCTATTTTCAGTGTGCAGGCATTATTACCAGTCTCGTCACAGACACGTATGATAGTGATGAATGTTACAGCGTACTGTACAAGAATAGAACATGAAATATTCCAGCAATCTAGTAGTCAGGTAAGATAATATGGAAGGAGAAATTTATTAATGGGGAATTAGCTACGAATTAGACTACAAATTGAAATATGATTTTGTTTCAAACATTCATAAAAGCAGAATATAGAAATAATATTTAGCTATTGGCAGTAAGGTTGGTTCTACTTCTTTAAGATAAGCTAAAAACTTTGAAGCTGAAGGACGCCTCCAGGTGCGGGAATTTCTCGCTGCATTGAAGACCCATTGGTGGCCTTCGGCTGTTGTCTGATCTATGGTCGGGTTGTTGTCTCTTTGACACATTCCCCATTTCCATTCTCAATTTTATTATGACTTATTGGCTTGCAAGTCAAATAATTCAACTCCATTAAAAAGAAAAGAATGTCAACATTGAAAAGTGAAACAAGGGAGATATCAGATAAACCATTTTGTTGAATGATCCCGCCCACAAAAAAATCATTATACAGATAAAACGATGATATACCGTAGATACTCGCCTAATAGTCGATCCTACTATAAGTCGGGGTCCCTTTTCAGCTCCAAATTCTAAGGATTTAGTCTTGACCCTCGTATAAGTCGGACAAAATTTGGGCATTTTTTTTTTCAGCTGACAGTAACTGAACGCCGGTAAAACCAATGCAAATCCAGGAATAATATTCATTTCTGCATTAATGTTTGTTTGGTTTGAATTTAGTTGATGCTCATCATGATAATTTATATTGCTGTTAATAATAAAGATGTATTCATTTCTCTTGTTTTGTTCACTGTTCAAATGTCAGATTAGCCATGTGTTGTTTACGTAATGCATCAATGATTTTGTAGGGTATGACTAACAACCTATTGTTTGAGAAAAGCGAATATAAACCAATATGAACCTGAAAAATTTAAAGTCAATCAACACTTGATGAAAATATTTTTCACAGCATACATAACTCGGTGTTAAATGAGCATGAACACTTCATAATTCTTATTATATTGTGATGATTAAAGGATTAAAAAAATTAAGTGAAGCTAATCAATATATTAAAATAACTAACTCCAACTCATTAGTGTCATCTGTTTACCTATCACTGATAGTTTTCACACCTTTAGTGAATACAACTCTTTGTCTCTTAATTGGGGTTATCAATGGATTATATTGGCTTGTCAATCAATTTTGTAATTTTTGTTTACCTGAGACACTATAATGAATAATATTTTGATTTTGGGAATGAATCTTAAAATTATTTTTTGATTATTATATGATTTATAAGCATTGAATTGATATCATGATATCACAATAATGACACAATAACTCCGCTGAAAACATCCTTTCGTCTATTAGTTGGCCCCCCTCTCTGGATTATGAATTTTACTCCCAATTTTCCGACTAATAAGCGAGTAGGAACGGTACATATAAATTCGATCTATAACATAAAACCAAACTGACTTCGAAAATTTGTCATTTTATTATAGCACATGCTTGTTTGTTTATTTATATTTATACTTATGTTTATATCAAATTATATGACTGTCAGCAGTCTTCAGGGGTAATCTTGATGGATAATTATAGTGTATTTGTTCTAGAATATGCAAGAAATGCTAATACATTATAACGAGTCCATGTTCATTTGCAATTTGAATATACTTTTTAGTATGTTGTAAATCAAATATGAGAATTTGGATCAAAGCGGTGAATATGAATTTGACAGCTAATGCCCCTTTAATGCAAAAATGAACACAGTGCTGAATTTGATAATTAATCATTCCTTAATTAAGGTTAAGTTTTATTTTTAGGAAAATGAATGATTAAAAGACATTTTTTACTTTTTAGCTCACCTGACCCAAATGGTCAAATAAGCTGTTCTCATCACCTGGCATCTTTCTTCTGTCATTGTCCTCACCTTTATTGGGGGTAATCTTTTACAAACCTTTTATCATTTAATTCTACTGGGCCAATTAGAAACAAAGTTGACCACAATTAGCATTGGTTATCTAGTTTAAAAATATGTTCGTTGATCAAACTTCCCAACCAACATGGCAGTCATGGCTAAAAATAGAACATAGGTGTAAAATGCAAGTTTTGTCTATAATTTTGTAAACTGCTGTTTCACAAGAGAAAATCAGACAGGGGGAGAAATGTTCAGATGAGTATAATGATTCCACAGGATGACAAGATAGGGTTCTGACCTAGATTGAAGGGTTCACTAAATAGGAAAATGTGATAATGGTAGCAGGACATGGTGACCTATAGACAGACATTCTTATTTCACATGTACAGTAACTTGTAATGTCTTTTTTACCAAATAATATATTAATCATAACATTGAAGACATTTAGCACACTTTTTATCAATCCTTTCCATAACCATTTAGAATATTTTCAAGAATATATTGACAATTGAACAGTGAAGAATCAGGTGGCAAGATTTGCTGAAATATAAGCTCTATTTAAATTTGGTTGTGTCTGACTTAAACAGTTATGGAACTTTGTTCATTAAAAAATGGGATTAAAACTCATCACTGCTTTAGAAAGGATTATGAGATATTTTTACACAATATCATCATGATGTTGGTTGATCCAAATTTTGTGATTTTTACAGGAAGAATACCTTCATTTACTCTTAGATAGATTGTATAAAATCAAAGCAGACATAGAACAACCACTCTTAGATGCAGTGTGTAAGACAGACAGTGAAGGAAATTCTAAAGAATCATTGCAACAAACAGGTATTTAATTTTAACTTTTGAGTCATTATTAAGGCCAGGATTTTTTAATTGGTTGTTTTATGGAACTTTATTGTGAGAAGTTTGGGTCAGTCAGTTAGTTTGTCAATATTTAAACCAGAAATGTACAATTGTTATCATGCATGCCTGCAATAGAAATAAATTCTGAGAGTAACGAAAAGAGATGATGCCATAGATCATGTGATAGGCTTTTGCTTATGGGATAAAACCCAAAGAAAGTGAGATTTGTTTATCCTCAAACACATCATTACCAGCAATAAAGTTGTCAAAGCTAGATGCAAAATAATTATCAACTAATTGCAAACCAATGTATTTAAATTGATATTCAAATATGAAGTGTGATAAAATTTTCGATATATATGCATTTAGCGCAGATCCACAGATGTACATATTTATAGCTGTTACAGTTTACCCCCATGTAAATCCACATGTTTCATAACCTATATAAACACTATATTACTAGGCCCTTTAGGCCAACATTGTTGAATTTTCTGTTTTACAAACCCACTGACTGTATTTTTAGCTCACCTGGCCCAAAGGGCCAAGTGAGCTTTTCTCATCACTTGGCGTCTGTCATCGTCGTCCGTCGTCGTTAACTTTTACAAAAATCTTCTCCTCTGAAACTACTTGGCCAAATTAAACCAAAGTTGGCCACAATCATCATTGGGGTATCTAAGATGGCCGCCATGGCTAAAAATAGAACATAGGGGTAAAATGTAGATTTTGGCTTATATCTCTGAAACCAAAGCATTTAGAGCAAATCTGACATGGGGTAAAATTGTTTATCAGGTCAAGATCTATCTGCCCTGAAATTTTCAGATGAATCGGACAACCCGTTGTTGGGTTGCTGCCCCTGAATTGGTAATTTTAAGGAAATTTTGCCATTTTTGGTTATTATCTTGAATATTATTATAGATAGAGATAAACTGTAAACAGCAATAATGTTCAGCAAAGAAAGATCTACTATTAAGTCAACTTGACCAAAATGGTCAGTTGACCCCTTAAGGAGTTATTGCCCTTTATAGTCAATTTTTAACCATTTTTCGTAAATATTTGTAATCTTTTCCAAAAATCTTCTCCTCTGAAACTACTAAGACAAATTTAACCAAACTTGTCCACAATCATCATTAGGGTATTTAGTGTCCGTTGACCCCGCCCGCGAACCAAGATGGCCGACATGGCTAAAAAATAGTACATAGGGTAAAATGCAGTTTTTGGCTCATATCTCTGAAACCAAAGCATTTAGAGCAAATCTGACAGGATAAAATTGTTCATTACGTCCAGATCTATCTGCCCTGAAATTTTCAGACCAATCGGGCAACACGTTGTTGGGTTGCTGCCCCTGAATTGGTAATTTAAGAAAATTTTGCAGCTTTTGATTATAATCTTGGAATATTATTATAGATAGAGATAAACTGTAAACAGCAATAATGTACAGCAAAGTAAGATCTACAAATAAGTCAACATGACCAAAATTGTCAATTGACCCCTTAAGGAGTTATTGCCCTTTATAGTCAATTTTTTACAATTTTCATAAATTTTGTAAATTTTTGTAAATTTTTACAAAATATTTTCCACTGTAACTACTGGGCCAAGTTTATTATAGATAGAGATAATTGTAAGCAGCAAGAATGTTCAGTAAAGTAAGATCTACAAACACATCACCATCACCAAAACACAATTTTGTCATGAATCCATCTGTGTCCTTTGTTTAATATGCACATATACCAAGGTGAGCGACACAGGCTCTTTAGAGCCTCTAGTTCTTGATAATTGAAATAAAAATAAAAGAGGTTGCTGTTATATTTTTAGCTCACCTGGCCCGAAGGGCGTCAGTCGTCCGTGGTCGTTAACTTTTTACATTTTGAACTACTTCTAGAGAACCACTGAATGGAATGAAACCAAACATGGCATGAATATTCCTTATGAGGTGCTGACCAAGTGTTGTTACTTTGAAGCCGATCCATCATCCAAGATGGCCGCCAGAGAGGGGGACTTAGTTTAACATAGGACCCTATGGGAAATACATACAAATGTCTTCTTTTAGAGAACCACTGAATGGAATGAAACCAAACATGGCATGAATGTTCCTTATGAGGTGCTGACCGAGTGTTGTTACTATGAAGCCGAACCATAATCCAAGATGGCCGCCAGCAGGGGACTTAGTTTAACATAGGACCCTATGGGAAATACATACAAATGTCTTCTTTTGGCCCGAGAACACAGTTATTTCGTAGTGCATTTCTTTTAGAGAATAAATTCAAATTAAAAAAATCGCACCTGCTCTATCTCAAAAAGATTTTTACAGTGTAGTGTACTACTATTGATACAAATAATATCAAAATTATAGAAACTTCTACCAGCTCTAACTCAAAATATTGACAATTCTGTGTTAAGGGGGGCTACAATTCAGTTTGACAGCTTCAGACATTCTAATTTTTGACCTTTTTTAACTGGACCAAATCACTACTTAACATAAAGATTCAGCACCCAATTTTTTTTAACATGTAATTTCATCCCCTTACTTAATATTTCATGCATAAAATATCAAGAAATAAATTGGGAAAGTGTATCAAAAAAAAATGCAAGTTATACACTGTTCACACTAGGGACTATATTTGTAGACAACGAAAACCAAAGGACGATAACTGTGTCCTTGGACCTAATAGGATAGAAAGACTTGACCAATTTCAATAAAACTTTGCATGACCTAAGCTTAGGAAATTATAAGATAGTTGGCCAAGTTTCATGGCCATAGGATATATATTATAGAAACTAGGGCCATTTTAGTATTGAAATTTGGATGTTTATTTTTGACGTTTAAATCAAATATTTTCAACTGTCAAGATTTTGGCCTAAAAAATTTAAATATTGCAAAAATTTGCTTTTTAAATACTCTTGAATATAGTATAATAAGTATTTAAAGCAACGGAACACTCATTTGATTTATCAGATTTATTACAGTTATTCAAAAGTCAAATTTATATGAGCCTGTGCCTGAAAATAGAGATTTTCGAATTAAGGGAAGCCTTACATAAACATGCATTTTTTTCAACCAATTTGAAGTTTTTGAAGTTTTTTAACCATACATTATTCTTCCATATATATTAAATGTACTTTAAATGTAAAGAAAAGTTACAAAAAGCATACCACATGAGTATAAAATGGTCTTAGGCCATGTAAGACTGAGAATTATATAGAGTCGATTTAGGCCGTAGCCCATATTTACATATAAAAATGCACACAGAGGCTATAAGAAATGGAAATTTGTTACTTTTTGCTCATTTCTATGCTAAGATGTCATGATACAAGAAGTCTAATTGCAAAAGGACTCTTGAATTCAACTTTTTTTTGCAGACAGTATGGTCTGATGACCAGTTTTTCACTTTTCAATGGAAAACTTGCATGTAGTTTTAGTCTCAATTGGCATATATTTGAACCACTTACTATCCTAAAGAAGAAAAATATGGTAGCATATGAAATGAATAGGGTGTACTGATCATTGTAAAGTGTTTTTTTAACAGATTTAGTGAAATATTTGTGATGGACTACAGATTTTATGTACAAAGCTCTTCACATTTCACATACATCAAACAGGCCGTTTAACCAGGGACATAAATACAAATATTCTGCACATTTTTTCTGTGATAATCTACTTTTCTCTAGATTCAGAGTTCACAAATGGTTAATTAAATTTCATTTAAGAATAGAAACACAAATATCAGAAACATAAAAAGCTGTCAGATAGAAAGTCAGCATGGCTCTTAGGCATAAAATGGAAACTGCTTTAAAATGCTTATTTTAGCCGTATAATGCCAAAATGGGACATTTTAACAGAATTTCTGTCAAACAAAGATGTAAATCCTTTACTTTTATTGAGTTTGACAAATTGAAACCAGCAAACCATTCAGGAAAGTTGCCAAAGTACAGAATCTACATTTACGGAATTCATCTCTTAGGCCCGAGAACACAGTTATTTCGTAGTGCATTTCTTTTAGAGAATAAATTCAAATTAAAAAAATCGCACCTGCTCTATCTCAAAAAGATTTTTACAGTGTAGTGTACTACTATTGATACAAATAATATCAAAATTATAGAAACTTCTACCAGCTCTAACTCAAAATATTGACAATTCTGTGTTAAGGGGGGCTACAATTCAGTTTGACAGCTTCAGACATTCTAATTTTTGACCTTTTTTAACTGGACCAAATCACTACTTAACATAAAGATTCAGCACCCAATTTTTTTTAACATGTAATTTCACCCCTTACTTAATATTTCATGCATAAAATATCAAGAAATAAATTGGGAAAGTGTATCAAAAAAAAATGCAAGTTATACACTGTTCACACTAGGGACTATATTTGTAGACAACGAAAACCAAAGGACGATAACTGTGTCCTTGGACCTTTTAGAGAACCACTGAATGGAATGAAACCAAACATGACATGAATGTTCCTTATGAGGTGCTGACCAAGTGTTGGTACTATGAAGCGGATCCATAATCCAAGATGGCCGCCAGCGGGGGACTTAGTTTAATATAGGACCCTATGGGAAATACATACAAATGTCTTCTTTTAGAGAACCACTGAATGGAATGAAACCAAACATGGCATGAATGTTCCTTATGAGGTGCTGACCAAGTGTTGTTACTATGAAGCGGATCCATAATCCAAGATGGCCGCCAGCGAGGACTAAGTTTAACATAGGACCCTATGGGAAATACATACAAATGTCTTCTTTTAGAGAACCACTGAATGGAATGAAACCAAACATGACATGAATGTTCCTTATGAGGTGCTGACCAAGTGTTGTTACTTTGAAGCTGATCCATCATCCAAGATGGCCACCAGCGGGGGGACTTAGTTTAATAAAGGACCCTATGGGAAATACATACAAATGTCTTCTTTTAGAGAACCACTGAATATAATGAAACCAAACATGACATGAATGTTCCTTATGAGGTGCTGACCAAGTGTTGTTACTTTGAAGCTGATCCATCATCCAAGATGGCCGCCAGCGGGGGACTTAGTTTAACATAGGACCCTATGGGAAATACATACAAATGTCTTCTTTTAGAGAACCACATACTGAATGGATTGAAACCAAACATGGCATGAATGTTCCTTATGAGGTGCTGACCAAGTTTTGTTACTTTGAAGCTGATCCTTCATCCATGATGGCCGCCAATGGGGGGACTTCTTTTAACATAAGACCCTATGGGAAATACATACAAATGCTTCTTCTACATGTTCTAGAGGTGCACTGAATGGAATGAAACCAAACATGGCATAAATGTTTCTTATGAGGTGCTGATGAAGTGTTGCTACTTTGTTGCCGATTTACTGGTCAAGATGGCCACCAGGATTTTTTATTAAATTACAGGACCAATATTAAACCAAATTTGGTCTCACTCATTATTAGGGTATCTGTTATGATTTTAATCTATTTTTACATGATTTCCAAAACCAAAGTAGAATCAGGTGAGCAACACAGGCTCTTGAGAGCCTCTAGTTATTTTTGTTTTTGTAGATCACTGAAATTTTGCTGTTGTGAAAATAAAACATCAACACTTGACCACGTTCTCCTTGTAGGAAACCAAATCTAGTTTCTAATTTTTTCTCAGTGGTATGTTTGCTTTTGAGAAATGTGCCATGTACCAATCAAAAAGATGTAAGCATGGCTACTCACAGGGTCTCGTTTAGTGGATCAGATGAGGTTTTACTTTCAAACGGCAGTCGCTATACTATTTAAAATACCAACTAATGAGCCACTTTTGGCTTTTTAAATAAAATAGCAACTGCCATTGACAGTCAAACCTCGTCTGACCCACTAAACAAGCAGTATTGATGCATTGAGTTTTGATATTACGATTATTTTCTACAATCCATAATAAAGTTAAATAAAAAGATTGACTAAATGTGTTTACACTATTTGTTCTTTAAGATGTTGATGGACCAAAGGCAAAGAAAAGAAGGACATTACCAGATACCAGTGATGAAGAAATAGAAGAAGTTAACTATGAAGGACTTACTGAGGTACTAAGAAGAAAGCATTGATTACAAAAATAGTCTCCTCTTTTCAAAAATATCTAAGTTTAGTTGATAAATAACATTAGTCAAATAACTTATTGCTAACAATCCTGTTTTGTTTGTTGTTTGTTACCTTCTTCAAAAAATCTTATCTGAATCCACTTGACTTATTTAAACTAAAAATTAGTTCCAGGTTTTGTCCGATGATCCAACTTGAAATTTGTCAAAATAGAAAAATTGTGAAAAGGACAATAATAGGTTTCACAATAACAGGGAAATACATGTATGATTCCCAATTGTGTTGGATAATCCCTCATACTATATCAACATGAGTTCAATTCGTAACAAGATTGTAGGAGTAAAATCTTTAACATAACCTTGAGAAAAACAGGTAATTAATGCAAAGCTGTAAAGGTAATGATGCATTTATAATTCCTTCAAACAATTATGATATTTCCCAATCACCACCAAATATTTTTGCCACGGTTATGAAAAATTTCACCTAAAAAACAACAACAAAATTAAAAAAAAAAATCCTTTTAAGGTCCAAATACTACCAAATATTTGGAATATAGCCCAAGTTTGACCAAGCATCAGGTACATAAAACCAATGACCATAAAATTACTGTATATGTTCTAAGCTGTAGACAGCTTGCTTGCTTGCTTAATCCTGTTGCCCCTTGGTGGAGCATAGACCACTTACGATATTCCTCCACCTTGTTCTGTTTCTTGCTAGCCTCTCCAGAATGTGCCACTTGTACCCTTCTTTCTCCATCTCGGCTGCAATGTTTCTTCTCCAGGTGTATCTTGGTCTGCCCCTGCCAGGCTTTCCTTGTGGGTTCCACTGTACGGCTTGCCTTGCCTTTAGATACCAGGTAATATTAATCTTAAAAATCAGTGGAAGTTTAAGTAACAATTAGTTATGCCCTTTGTACTTCCTTTTCAATCTTGGTGTACTCTGGATTCATTTTCGTGGATTGATGAAAAATTGTATTTTCATAGATTTTTTGTCAGTCTGCATACATGCATGCTATATGTACATAAATTAGGCCATTTGTTTTCTCGTTTGAATTGTTTTACATTTGTCATTTCGGGGCCTTTTATAGCTGACTATGTGGTATGGGCTTTGCTCATTGTTGAAGGCCATACCGCGACCTATAGTTGTTAATTTCTGTGTCATTTGGTCTCTTGTGGAGAGTTGTCTCATTACCACATCTTCTTTTTTATATCTATAGAACATTTGTTATTCAACGAAGATTGACATTCACGGTTCACCTATACCCACAAGTAATAAGGAATCCAGAGTATTGGTCTTATCTTTGAATCATAGCTATCTCCTTTATTTTTTATTAACCATGAATACAGGTAATAGAAAATTATGAATTAATAAAAAAAAATGTCTATTTGAATGTCATTTGTTATTCAGAATCAGCTGAAGTACTGTCAACTCTATGTATCAACAAGAGTGCTGCAGACAGAATATATTCTCAATATGAACATCATGATTCAGGTGATTGTCTTCAGTGGTGCTTTCCAAGCATTTGAACTATCCAACATGTTTGACTCAAGGACCATCGGAGAAAGCAGTGACAATTTAAAGAAAGAACTTGCATCAAAGTTTTTACCGAAATACCAAAACCAAACCATATTCCAAGCATTATCCTGCTTATACAGCTATGGTCTACAGCTATGTTATGGCATACCCTTAACCTTTACCACATTCCTGGTAACTTATGGTGGACTCTCAAAAGAAGATAAAGCATTGCTAGCCATTCAGGCTTTGACAGAATGTGACCGCCCTTTAACAGATACTGAGACTGAAGAATTCAGTGGTAGGTTAATAGGAAAACATTCATATGCCTATCAACTTACTTGGTCTTGTCCTTTCTTTTAGCTCACCATTCCAAAGGAACTCGGAGCTTTTGCCATCACTTGGCTTCCGTCGTCGTTGTTGTTTGTCTGGTGTAAACTATTTCAAACATCTTCTCCTCTGAAACTACTGAACCAATTCCAACCAAACTTAAGCTGAACGATGCTTAGGGTATCTAGAATAAAGTTTGTGTTTTATTTACTGTTTCGTCAAATAACATGGCCGTCATGGCTAAAAATAGAACATAGGGGTAAAATGCAGTTTTTGGCTTATATCTCAAAAACCAAAGCATTTAGAGCAAATCTGACATGGGGTTAAAGTGTTCATTAGGTGAAGTTCTATCAGCCCTGAAATTTTCAGTTGAATCTGATAACCCATTATTGGGTTGCTGCCACTACATTGGTACTTTTAAGGAAATTTTGCAGTTTTTGGTTATTATCTTGAATATTATTAATGATAAAGATAAACTGTGAACAGCAAAAATGTTCAGCAAGGTAAGATCTACACATAAGTTCCATATGATCAAAATTGTCAATTGACCCCTTAAGGAGTAATTGCCCTTTAAGGACAATTTTACACAATTTGTTTATCATGTTTTCTAACTTTAAAAAATCTTCTTCTCTAAACTACGGAACCAATTCCAACCAAACTTAATAAGCTGAATGATTCTATTTAAGGGTATCTAGAATAAAGTTTGTGTTTTATTTTCTGTTTCGTAAAAAAATATGGCCGCCATGGCTAAAAATAGAACTTAGGGGTAAAATGCAATTTTTGGCTTATATCTCAAAAACCAAAGCATTTAGAGCAAATCTGATGGAGGTTAAAATGTTTAGTAGGCCAAGCTCTGTCAGCCCTGAAATTTTCAGATGAATCTAACAACCAATTGTTTGATTGCTGCCACTTAATTGGTAATTTTAAGGAAATTTTGCAGATTTTGGCTATTATCTTGAATATTATTAATGGTAAAGATAAACTGTAAACAGCAAAAATGTTCAGCAAAGTAAGATCTACAAATAAGTTCGTTTGACCAAAATTGTCAATTGTCCCTTAAGGAGTTATTGCCCTTTAAAATCAATTTTTCACAATTTGTTCATTTAGTTTGCTTACTATTAAAAATCTTCTCCTTTGAAACTGCTGAATCAATTTCAGCCAAACTTGGGCTGAATGAGTTTCAGAGTATCTAGTATAAATTTTGTATTTTATTTTCTTGTACGTCAAGAAGCATAGCCACTATGGCTAAAATGAAACATAGGGGTAAAATGCATTTCTTTGATTTTGAAGAAAATATGACAGATACAAAGAATATTTCAATGGAAGTTTTAAGCCATTTATTAATTTATATTGAAAAGCAAAAATAATCATTGATGAAAGATTTAAGCAAAAAATTACAGGTGAGCGATTCAGGCTCTTGAGAGCCTCTCGTTTATTTAAGCCCACCTGGCCCAAAGGGCCAAGTGAGCTTTTCTCATCACTTGGTGTCCGTTGTCCGTCATCATCTTCCATTAACTTATACAAAAATCTTCTCCTCTGAAACTACTGGGCCAAATTTAATCAAACTTGGCCACAATCATCATTTGGGTATCTTGTTTAAAAAATGTGTCTGATGACCTCGCCTCCCAACCAAGATGGCTGACATGGCTAAAAATAGAACATAGCAGTATAATGCAAGTTTTGTCTATTATTTTTAAAACCGTTATTAATAGAGAAAATCTGACAGGAGCAGAAATGTTCAGAATGTTGAGCTCTACCAATTGTCCATATACATTAAAACTGTCAAACAACTTCTTACAGGAGTTATTGCACTTAAATGACAAATTTTACCATTTTTTTATTTTTGCCTATTAACTTGAAAACTATAATTGATAGAGAGAAACTTTAATTGCAAAAATGATCAGCAAGACAAGTTCTACAAATAGGTCTGCAAGGTCGAATTTGTCAGCCGACTCCTTATTAGAGTTATTGCCCATTGATGATTATTTTTACCAATTTTATGCGCTTCTAGCTTACATCTTAAAAATTATAATAGATACATAGAAACTTAAATAAGCAAAAATGATCAGCAAGACAAGATCTACAATATACAGGAAATCGTAGGACAACTTCTTATTGGAATTAGTGCCCTTTAATGACGATTTTTACCATTTTTTGGGGCGTTTTGCCTTACATGATCAAAATTATAGTAGCTTACATAGATAAATAGACACTTTAAATCACAAAAATTATCAGCAAGGTAAGATCAAGCTAACAAGTCAAATTTTGCCGATATGTATTAGACTGTCACTCTGTATAGGAGTGATTGCCCTTTAATGAGGATTTTTTTTTACCCTCTTTTGTGGTTAGAGCAAAAAATAAAGAAGATAGAGAGAATCTAAACAGACTAAATGATCAGTAATACAAGATCAACAAAACAGAGTTTTTTGTCATGAATTATATTCTCATCTACAATGTTGGAGAGTGTCCTTTGTTGAATATGCACACAGACCAAGGTGAGCGACACTCTAGTTTATGTTGATTTCTATTAGAAGAGTTATCTCAGTTTATGATTGTTAGGATATATGTTAGCTTGCTTAATAAGGTTCTTCATGATATAGGTATTAATTGCAAATGGATAAGTGGTGATGCAGGCTTCTTTTGTTGTTTTCATGTCTGGAACTTTTTTGTCCTTTGACGTAGACTTTGATATTTGGCAGAAGGGTGCAGCACCTCAAGAAGATGAGATTTTCAAGGTCAGATGATTTTTAGCTCACCTGACCCACAGGTTCGTTAACTTTTACCAAATCCTTCTCCTTTTAGTGTCTTCTCATCATTAGGTTATCTAGTTTATAAAATGTGTCTAAGGACACCCCCTCTTTTATCTTGAAAACTATAATAGATAGATAGACACCTTAAATAGCAAAAATGATCAGAAAGATAAGATCTACAAATAAGTCAACAGGGCTGAATTCGTCAGTCGACTCCTTATTGAGGTCTTGCTTTTTAATGACAATTTTTACCAATTTTTGTCATTTTTGCCTATTATCTTGCAAACTATAAAATACAGATAGACACTTTAAATAGCAAAAATTTGCAACAAATTAGACAAGATCTACAAACAAATTAAATTTTGAAGAAATTGTTAGTAGACTCTTCATAGGAGTGATTGCCCTCAAATAACGATTTTTTTACCCTTTTCTATGTTTTGGTCAAAAACTAAGAAAGAAAGAGAGAAACTGTTAACAGTTCAACAATACAATATCAACAAAAAACAAATTTTTGTTATCAATTCTATTCTAGTCCACAATGTTGGAGAGTCCATTGTTGAAGATGCACATATACCTAGGTGAGCGACAAAGGATCTTTAGAGCTTCTAGTTTTGTTTCCCAATCAAAATCGAATATATTCTTGCTTGCCATGGCAAGATCCTTTTCAGAGCATCTGAGGGTTTACCCAGGGATCACATGCCACCCCATATATAATGAAATGTAAAATATCAAAAATGGTTCAGGCTGACACCGTTAAACCATATAATCTTAATTGCCTTGATATGAACTTTCTAGTTGACCATAAGTTTGTCCATCGGTCCCTCCTTCCCATATAGAGAACCTGGTTTATCCTGCTAACTCTTACAGTTTTCAATCTATATCATTTAGATTCTGTTGGGTGTTAGTACATATACTAAAGGTGTGCATATTATAAGGATTTTGATTTTCTCTACATTTCCACAAATGACAGGTCTTGGAAACACTAATTTTTTGCTTATATAAGTCATGCAGGGTATTTGGTTTGTCTGGCTAATTTCTCCTACAGTTTTCAAGGTAAAACTTTTATAAATGTAAATTGTTAGTACAAATAATATGTGTGCAGATTATCAGGATTTTTATTTTCTGCAAAATTTTCTGCTTATAACAGAATATATACCCTTTTTAGTTATGAATGCAGCTATGGTCTTTGTCTAGTCTTTCCTGAGTGACTTTTAGAGATGAAGGAGAGACACTAGTTACGTCCACTTAAACAGTTCCAACTAGTTATGATTTTTTTATACGCCCATTTCAAGATGTATTATGGTATACTGTTGTCCTTCTGTCTGTCGTCAATACTTCGGACAATAACTCAAGACTACACGAATGAATTTTATTTTTACAGGACATTCGGTCTGGTAAACAACCTAGCTTTACCACACCGAATGAAATTTTACCAGACCAATTTTTTTTTACATCTAATTGTATATTATCCGACAAAATACAACATACTTATGACTTGTTGTGCGCTACTCCTCTCCAAAATGCACAAAAACAAAATCATGTGACAAGAGTGTATATTTTGATGAAAGTTGTGCACAATTGTTTGAATGCATTTCAGTGATAAAGAAAAGTAATATCACATTTTATTGGATTTTGACATGAAAATTATTTGTGAACTAAAAATAATTTAGAGTTTCTGTATAAAATATTTTCTGTTTCTTCTTTCTTTTTCATATATCTTTTGGTTTTCAATTCTAGTGTTGATATTTCATAGCTGTATTTTGTGACCTGCTTGGATTTTTTTTTTATTTATTTATTGTATTTGATCGGCAAACCCGGAATTAGCCTTATCCGTTCCCAAAATCTGATCCGGTATTGTCTACATTTCCAGTTGATGGAAGCCATTGTTGTTTTTGTCAGTCAGATATGTTTTTTCCCGGATTTACACATTACTTGTTGGCGATTTTCGGCATAAAGCTAGCGGTTGAACAAAATAAACATCGCTGTCATGAATAATAAAGATGAAAATGAATTTTGAGATCGTTTGGGAATTTTGCTAGAATGCTAGAAAAATCCATGAAAAAAAAAACAACACCGGACATTCGTACCGGAATTCAACAAAATTTCAGCAGACCGATCCATTATTCACTGGATTTGTCTGATGGTCTGACGAATTTCGTGTAGTCTGATAACTCAAAAACACTTTCACCGATTTTCATAAAACTAATGAATTGTTATATATATCTATTGACGTAAAGCCCCCTATTGATTTTTATATATTTTAGATTTTATGTTTCCGAGTTATAAGATTTTATTCTTAAAAGATGGGTGATTTTCCAATTTTCTGACTATAAAACTTTACTACAAAATTACTTCGAACAATTTTCATGAAACTTTGGTAAATTGTTCATAAATATATTGACATAATTTTCCTTTTTTCTTTTTTTTTTTAAATTTCTGATTTTACGTTTTGGAGTATTGGGAGATTATTCCTAAAAAAGGAGGGATTTTCCAGTTTTCAGACAATAACTCAAAAACACTTTGAGCAGTTTTCATGAAACTTTGGTGGCTTGTATATATCTATTGAAATGAGCTTCCTTTTGGTTTTTTTTATAAATTTTGGATATGACATTGCGGAGGTATATAACTTTATTTGTTGCAAAAATGGTTGAAAACTATCCATTTCCACACAAGGTTATAGAATTTTATTCCTTCTTATTTTGTGTCAATGGGTACCACAGTGTGTGCATGTTGTTTTTCAATTTGAGCAGTGCACAGTATTTCTAGTTGATCATATAAATTCATTTAAAGCATAAAGACGGGCATATCATACGCTGATGGCGCAACTCTTTATTAGCTCACCGGGGCCCGAAGGGCCCCATGTGAGCTTATGCCATCACTTGGCGTCCGTCGTCATCGTCTGTTGTCATAAACTATTTAAAAAATCTTCTCCTCTGAAACTACTGGGCCAAATACCTTCAAACTTTAACTAAATGTTCCTTAGGGTATCTAGTTTATAAATTGTATCCTAAGTTTTGATCCATCGACAAACATGGCCGCCATGGCTAAAAATAGAACATAGGGGTCAAATGCAGTTTTTTGCTTATATCTCAAAAACTAAAGCTTTTAGAGCAAATCTGACATAGGTAAAATTGTTCAATTGGACAAGATCTATCAGCCCTGAAATTTTCAGACGAATCGAACAACTCATTGTTGGGTTGCTGCCACTAAATTGGTAGTTTTAAGGAAATTTTGCAGTTTTTGGTTCTTATCTTGAATATTATTATAGATAGATATAAACTGTAAACAGCAATAATGTTCAGCAAAGTAAGATCTACAAAAAAGTTTCAAAATTGTCAATTGACCCCTTAAGGAGTTATTGCCCTTTAAAGACAATTTTACACAATTTGTTCATCAAGTTTGCTAACATTTAAAAAACTTCTCCGCTGAAACTACTGGGCCAAATACAGTCAAACTTCATCTAAATGTTCCTTAGGATATCTAGTTTATAAATTATATTCGAAGTTTTAATCAATCGACAAACATGGCCGCCATGGCTAAAAATAGAACATAGGGGTCAAATGCAGTTTTTGGCTTATATCTCCAAAACTAAAGCTTTTAGAGCAAATCTGACATAGGTAAAATTGTTCAATTGGTCAAGATCTATCAGCCCTGAAATTTTCAGACAAATCGAATAACCCATTGTTGGGTTGCTGCCACTAAATTGGTAGTTTTGAGGAAATTTTGCAGTTTTTTGTTATTATCTTGAATATTATTATAGATAGATATAAACTGTAAAAAGCAATAATGTTCAGCAAAGTAAGATCTACAGAAAAGTTTATATGACCAAATTTTTCAATTGACCCCTTAAGGAGTTATTGCCCTTTAAATACAATTTTACGCAATGTGTTCATCAAGTTTGCTAACATTTAAAAATCTTCTCTTCTGAAACTATTGTGCCTAATACTTCTAAACTTTGAATGAATGTTCCTTTAGGAATCTAGTTTATGAATTGTATCCGAAATTTTGATCCATCAACAAACATGGCCGCCATGGCTAAAAATAGAACATAGGGGTGAAATGCAGTTTTTGGCTTATATCTCAGAAACTAAAGCATTTAGAGCAAATCTGACAAGGGGTAAAAATGTTCCAAAGGTCAAGATCTATCAGCCCTGAAATTTTCAGACACACTGAACAACCCATTGTTGTGTTGCTGCCACTAAATTGGTTGTTTTAAGGAAATTTTTGCAGTTTTTGGTTCTTATCTTGAATATTATTGAAGATAAAGATAAACTGTAAACAGCAAACATGTTCAGCAAAGTAAGATCTACAAAAAAGTTTATATGACCACTTTAGGAGTTATTGCCCTTTAAGGACAATTTTACACAAGTTGTTTTATGTTTTTTAACTTTAAAAATCTTCTCAAATGAATCTAGTATAAATTTTGTACTTCATTTCCTTGTACGTCAAGAAACATAGACACTATGGCTAAAATGGAACATATGGGTAAAAAGCAAAAATAATCATTGATGAAGGATTTAAGCAAAAAAAATAACAGGTGAGCGATTCAGGCTCTTGAGAGCCTCTTGTTAAATTAAGGTACCCATACCTGACTGAATATTAAAAGAAAGTTTTTAAAAGTCTGAAGTTTTCCAATACTTCATAATCATATAATTAATTTTGCATTTACCCAGGTCTTTTTAGCAGTCACATGGTCATTCCTTAACTGTGTCTGAATCCCTCTCTTCTTTATATATCAGGTAATGCTACAGAACATTATGGTAAACTGATGAAGGTTTTATTCCCACCGGAATATAACAGATTTCATACAGAACTAGCAGAACAGGTACATACTTTCATAATACTGTCAACATTTATTTTTCATTGCATTCATGATTTTGTAGTCACTGCATGTTTTCCCCCCTGTCATTAGAGGAGAGACCAAGTCTAGTAAAGACCACCAATATGAAACACATGGAATCACATGAAGGGCATCTAGATTGTATCATTAGTAGCTCCAACATTTTTCAATAAATGCACATAATTCAATTGAAGATGTATATCTCTTATTCTGGACAGATTTTGATATGTTTATACTCTGCTTCCAAAGGATGGGGGTAAACTTTTTTTCACCTGTCCTTCTTTCCTTCAATCAGACCGTAACATTTTGGTCCCATTTTTCTGGGGAACTACAAATCAGATCTTCATGAAATTTGATTTCAAGCTTCATGTAAGCATTCTTTACTTTGTGATGCATTCATTGCATTCATCACTCATCCACTTCTTATTAAGGACTGTTCCAGAAAATACGCTGTTCCCATGAGGACGGCACTTTTTTTTTACCCCACCTACCCATGGAACTTTATTCAATTTTGGAGAACCAACTATGTAATTTGACTTATGTAAAGACCAACAACTCATGGAATTAAAAAAGATATTGATTACCCGCCACTCATAGATTATTTCATCAACACATAAAATGCAGAAATGTGGGTCAGATTATTTACTTGACTCATAAAATTTGATATGATTTTATATCAATAAATCATGTTTATTCATCTCAATATTTGTGATTTTTATTCTTGCTGTATAGAATACATTCATATATTGCATATAGGTTAGGCAACCAAAGTTTATCATGCTCCCATAGAAGGGATGATTTTGCTCAATATACAATTGCCCTGAAAAACCTTCAACAGCATGGCTGGAACATTGTAGTATGTCCATGAGTATTAATCATAAAAAAAAGAAACTCAAGCAGTATTTTCCTTCTTTTATAAATTAATTAATTTTTTTATAAATAAAGGACATGTTTAAAAAAAAAAACAAAACATATAAAGTAAATTTTTATTATTTCAGTTCTTAGTGCACCTTGAAACAGTGAAGGACAAGGCTTTTGTAACAGCAGCTGTAGAGCATTTTATGGACCACTTTAATCGATTTCCAGCGGCACACCATAGAACTATTCTACTTGATTTGGTAATAAAGTTTATGAAAGAAAAATGGATTTCTCGCTCTGATAAATATTATCACAGTTATGCCGCCAAAATGTACCAAATGCTGAAAAGACTGTTAGATTCTAGTAGTGGGTTTGCTGAAACAATAACTGTTCTGCTCTTGAAAAACTGGTCATGTGTATGTAAATACTTTATGCCAAAAGTCATTAAAGATATTTTAAAAGATATAGAGAAAGTTGTGGAGAGTGATGTTTTTAAAGATTCTGATCAGCTTCTTAAACTTGTTGAAACTTATCTGTTGGAAGAATGTGTTCATGACATGGAATGCGGGACATTGATTAAGATCTTTTACAAAGATGAGAAAATATTTGCATCTAGAGTACTTGGAAAGATCAGGGACAACAAAGACAAGTACACACAAGCATTGTTAATGAAGCTGAGCAAATATGCAAAGGCTATATCAACAAGTCCCCCCTTTTCAGAACCGTCTTCAGCTAGCAACTCTTTACAGCTGATGGCATTAGAAGCTTGTTCAAAGAAATGTAGGGCCTGCAAGGTAGTAGGTTCATCCATAGAAAGTAGGCTTCAACTTTATGAACCTACAGAAAAGGAATTGAAATACTTTGTATTCTTTTTTGAGGTTATAGGATCCTCAGTGAATAACAATTTGATGAGTACAATTGAATTCTTACAAGTTTTAGATAAGTTGAAGATTATTTTTATTTCATCTTATGGTGTTATGATGGAATTTATTAATTTGGTAAAGAAATATGAGGTTCAGGAGAAAGTAATAAAATTGCTTGAAGATACCATCGTAGAATGCTGCCGTGAAAGGTTTATTGAAGAAGTTCGCAAAAGTAATTATAGCAAACACGGTATATTAGTTGACAATTTGATAGAAGCCTGTCGTTTATGTGTAGACAACGTAACCAATGGGAAGTTACGATTTCAAGAGCGTGTTGTCAATCATTTGTTGGAAAAATTCAAAACAAAAGAAAAAACCTGTGAGAAAATAAAAGCACAATTCTCGTAAAGATAAACTTGGCCTGATTATGATGTAGGATATAGGTTTGGCAAGTATGTCATGTGGGCGTCATAGTATGGAATGTTACATATGAAATGTTGAATAGAGTCTCATTGAATTTTTCATCCATGGATTGGATAATTGTTGGACTGTTATATAAATAGAAAGTTTTGTGTAGCATAGTACTAATGTAACACCATCTATATTTTCTTTGGAGAAAGTAACTGTAAATTCAGTAGTTTTTATTTTGGTCATTTATTATTGATAATTTTATAAACTCCTAAATATGAGTTTAAATAATGTGAATTATGAAATGCTGCATTTGAATAATGTGATTAGGATTATAAATGTGAGTTGATTAATATGATATCAATTCTATCTACACACTAAAAAAAACCCAAATATTATGGAAGATGATATGATTAAAAGCCCAATGAATCTTTGTTTCTATTTTACATGCTGCATAGTCCGAGCTGTAATCTTGATGATGGATTGTTTGCCACTGCTACACAAGTAATGTGTTGTAATATTTTTGCCAATGTTTGCCCACCCTTCATCTTCATACAGGTTACATGCATTGGTAGCCTAAATGCTTTTACAAACTGGAACCTTTTTATTTTGTGGAATATGTGTACATATGCTAAAGATGTTCTTTTGTCCATATTTCATTTTGTTTTTTTTTCACAGAAGAATGGGAAGATCTGCATGTTGTCCAGATTTTTGAAATATTTTTTAAAAGAATTATGGGTTGGTAAGCCTAAATTTTCATGGAAAGTTTGCATGTACAGCACATGCTTTAGATTTTCTATAATTGCTCCTACTGTTTTTCTTCACGCTCATATCTTTCCATTTTCCAGAGTTTTTACATATAACAAAGATTTGTATAATAAGCCACTTATAATTTTCACCAGATGGAATTTATACTTCTAAACTCTTCTTGCAGAATTTGAGTCAGAAATTTTTTTATTCAGTAGGCTCCCTGTACACATATGACTGATATGAGATGTGCATATTTTTAGGATTACCATTTTGAAAATTTTTCTTAAAATCAAAGGTTATTGAACTCTGTCATTGTTCACTGTATCGCTAAACAGTACATGGTTTATAATGTTAAATCATTCATTTAAGTGTTACTATTCTTCGTTAATATTACAAACATGTATTGGGGGCTTGGGTGGTGTTGAATACCATCATACATGCACTTGAGACAACAATTTTTGATAAGAATTAAACATCCCTGTAACAAAAAAAGCACTGTTTATGCATTTTGCTCATTAATGTGCTGGACCTATTTTTTTGTCTAGCTTTTTATATAGAACTGCACCTTTCCCTCCATTTCTCTTCTTTTAGCTTAAAGTGAATAATGATTGCTGTTGTTTTTCATTTGTTTGTTGGTGTGTTTCTTTGTTTTTAAGTTTTTAATTTTTTTTTCATTCAATTTTGGCCATATTGTAAACTAAACTAGTGACCTGATTTAAATGAACATTTCGAAATCTAGTTTTTAAGGTGTAATACCACCAAATCATAGTACGTCACATCCGGTTGCATACGAAAATAGGTCGAAAAAAAATATTCCCTTGAATTTGACAGTTGTAGGTAATTGATCCTACATTTCATTGCAGTAAAACATTTCTGGGTCATAAACATATATCTTGGGTATTTAAAAGCACCATTATTATTTTATTTGGGGTTTCTATAGAATATTTTGGAAACTTGAGGTTACATGGTTACTAAAGCTTGTACACAGGTTAAAAAAGGGGGAAAATTTGATTGGTTAACTTCCAGTGATGGTTATTTTCTTATATGCAATGAAATGTTATGTGAAATTTTTTCTATAGTACTGGACAGGATAAAACTTTACTCATGCCAAGTATTTCTTTATTTGAAACAAAGATAAATTCTGCACAATTTTTTGAAAAGTGCAAATTTAACAAAGACTAATAGGGGAAAATCAATGGTGGTATTACACCTAATATGGGAAGCTGTACATGCACCTTTGACCTTGTGAGTACTCTCATGTGTTAAAATTTCTGGCTATTTAATTTAAATATTACAAATAATGAAATATTCTGAGTGGATTGAGTCTCCAAAACACATTTTATGAGAAAATTTCCTTGAAATAGGACTTTACCATCAATATTAGTTGACAGAACAAGCCATACTTAGAGCTTTGGGGAGCTTTTTCTCCTTATTTCTTATATTCTGCTATACTAGAAATTTTTTCCTAAGAAATACTTTAATAAATATATAGTTTTAAGGAATTGAAATTATTTTTAAAGCAGTAACAACAAATTATTCACCAAAAGAGAAGCTTTTTATGTCCCTCTCTGGAACGCGGCGTAAATTTAAGTTTTACGTAAGGACTTATCGAAACCTCCTTGGAGACAGTAAACTTTTATACGGATAGTTCGTTCAGCTTGAATACTTCAATTAATCATTTATTATAACATTTCTATCATAAATGAGTGAAAGTTACCCTAAAATTTTTATTTATTGGCCTAAAAAGTAGAAATTTTGAGGAAATGAGAGGTATAAATGGACCAAAAGAGACCTTATAAGGAAGACAAAGAGGTCCATTAGTAGTATTTATCATCCTAAAGTCATCTTTTGTATCATATTCAACTGTTTGTAGGCAGATGAGATAAATATTTGATCATTTATTGGTCCACACTATATTCTATCATGATGCGGCTTGGTTTGGATTTTTCGAAGAAATTTTGCTCGAATCGCTGTAGATGTCATCTTACATTATACTAGATTTTTCTCAAACTATTGAACTGATTATGACAAAACTTGACAGGAATGCTTGAAATAACCAGTATTACAAAGGAAAAAAGTCACATTCAGTTTATTTAACAAAAAAGTCTTCTTTAGGTGTAATACCACCAAATCATAGTACGTCACATCCGGTTGCATACGGAAATAGGTCGAAAAAAAATATTCCCTTGAATTTGACAGTTGTAGGTAATTGATCTTACATTTCATTGCAGTAAAACATTTCTGGGTCATAAACATATATCTTGGGTATTTAAAAGCACCATTATTATTTTATTTGGGGTTTCTATAGAATATTTTGGAAACTTGAGGTTACATGGTTACTAAAGCTTGTACACAGGTTAAAAAAGGGGGAAAATTTGATTGGTTAACTTCCAGTGATGGTTATTTTCTTATATGCAATGAAATGTTATGTGAAATTTTTTCTATAGTACTGGACAGGATAAAACTTTACTCATGCCAAGTATTTCTTTATTTGAAACAAAGATAAATTCTGCACAATTTTTTGAAAAGTGCAAATTTAACAAAGACTAATAGGGGAAAATCAATGGTGGTATTACACCTTAATGGCATTGAATAACTTTTTTTAATTGTATTTCAAAGATTTAACCTTTAAAATGATTTATGGAATTTTCTATTTCATAAAATGGACTTGCATGCAAATTTATTAAATGTTTCTTCCTAGATGTTTTTGTGCACCTCCCATTACCCTCGTTTTTGATCAGAAAGAGTATTGGGATTTCATTTGCAATGGCAAAAGACAGACATTGTCATATCTATCAACTGTAAATAAGGGGACCAGTGAATAAATTAGTACACTGAGGTAGCAGGTTTAGTTTGGGTTGTTTTTTTGTTTGTTTTGTTCGATATGTAATATCTTAGATATGCTTTGTACATAGTGATAATGACCACAATATGACGAGTGTTGATCTAAGAAATATGACAAATATGTGTTGTATGGGATAACCAAAATTTTCAATGATGATGGTCATATTCAAATTAAATTTACTTTGAAGATTATTAGAATTGTGTAGCTCATTTTTATCATACAATCAGATTTCAAGATTATTGTCGCTAAACAGCAAGAAAATTATCTATGCAGGCAAGTTACTGAACTATGCAAAGACTTTAATATGAGTTATTTGTGTATTAATTAAGAAAGGATTTTACATGTAACTTATTTGTTATATTGATTGTTTAAAATCAGTTTTGTTCCACATTGTATGTTAATTATTATATCTTGTTATGTTGAAGCTTCATTTTCATATTGGAAAATAATCTTACCTTTGATTTTGAGAAGGTCTGTTAAAATATTAATGTATATTGTAATTTCTTTGAAAAAAAACGTAATTTATGAAAAGTTTGTTTTTATACGCCCGTTTACCATACGTATTATGGTATACAGTTGTCCGTCCGTCCGTTGTCAACATGTCGGACAATAACTCAAAAACACTTTCACCAATTTGCAAGAAACTTTGGTGAATTGTTTATATCTATTGACATGAGCTCCCTTTCTATTTTTATTAATTCTAGATTTTATGTTTCCGAGTTATGGGGTTTTATTCATTAAAAAAAGGGGGATTTTCCAGTTTTTGGACAATGGGGTTTTTATTCATTAAAAAAAGGGGGATTTTCCAGTTTTTGGACAACAACACAAAAATGCTTTCAGCAGTTTTCATGAAAGTATGGTGAATTGTTTATATCTATTGACATAAGCTCACTTTCGATTTTTATAAATTTTAGAATTAATGTTTCCGAGTTATTGGATTTTATTCATAAAAAGGGAGTGATTTTCCAGTTTTCGTACAATATCTTTAAAGTGCTTTGAGCAGTTTTCATGAAACTTTGTTGACTGGTTTATATCTATTAAGCTAACCTCCCTTTAGTGTTTCATAAATTTCTGAAATGACATTGATAAGTTATTGAACTTTATTCTTTAAAAAAGCGACGGAGTATCATGCGCTCATGGCGCAGCTGTTTTTTTTTGTTTATGCTGTTTCAAAATATCTTAAAGAGTCTACGGATAATTATACTCCTTAGCATAAAATTGTCCATATTGGAGTTATGAGCTTATGAGGTATTCTATAAGTCTGATATAATTTGTCCCTAAATTAGAACACTTCACAGTAAAAATCTTATTGAGATAGAGCAGGTATGATTTTTTTTTTTTAATTGCTTTTAATGTCTTAAGAAATACACTACAAAATTACTGTTCTTGGGCCACTCATAAAACATCAAAAAGAATAGAATTAAAAAAAACTTAAAAGATGTTTTGGAAACTTTTTGTCCTGTAAAGTAATTAGTGTACAATATGTATAAATGTACATTTTTTTTCTCTCGATTTGAGGGCTCTTCCATTAAAATGAATGTGGAAGGGTTAGAAGTGGCTTTATGGGCATGGGTTATGGATCCATTATGGTTGTACATCCATTTGTTGTATTCAATATTACTTGTAGAAAGTTTATTGGTTGTGAAAGGTGGTAGGGGTACCTGAAGAATCTTTATTCTCCCACATTGATTTTGCTGGGATGACCCTGAATTTTTAAAAAGAATCAAGAACAGAATATGGTCAAAACATGAACGACATTTTCAAGGTTGTAAGTAAATACTGCTGTTTTATGCTTAGTTGATTGTATATAAATCTAGTTTATTGTTTTAAAGGATTTTAAAAGCAAGTTAATTGGTTTAAAAGATGTTATAAGAGTGAAATTGTGATGTACATGTTTATTAATTGAGAAATGTTTGTTTTTGATGATATTGTTTACTTTATCAATGCTTTATAATTATGTTTTAGTTTTATCAGGTTTATCTTGATTTTGGTAGCTGTTGATATTTTTTATGCTGTCTGAACAGAATTTTTATGTTTTAAAGGTGTTGTAATGATGTAGAGAGTAGTTTTCATTTGTATCCATTTCCACACTCTAACTTAACTTTGCCGCAATTAAATCTTCTTAAAACTTATACTCAATGCTTATTACTACCAAACAAAGATCAAGCTCAAATTTGGGTAGGGCCACTTTCACTGTATCGAGTTGTGTCCCTTTATGAATGGTAAAATTGCTGAATTTGCAGTATCTTTACAAGAGCATGGACACATTATTCTTGTATTGATTATCATATCATAATTGGTCTATCTTCTCTATCTAGAATTAGATGTTTTGCTAACTATTTTCACCTTCCCTCTATTCACATCCTTGAATAACTGAATGAGAAAGAGCATATATAAAATATTAACCCTTTCTGTTCTTCATTCTGAAAATTGAGGGAAAGTATTTGAACAAATGATAAAAGGAGGCACTGAAAGCAGGTGAAGAGATGTGATCTTGATTCAATATATTAAACTTTCTTTTATTGTATATAGTCCCATGTTTTTAAGAAATAGAATTTATTACATAATAAGTTTATCCTTGTAGTTTAGAAAGCACTAATTTTCATTTTTGTCCAACACCTTGTGCCTCAATTTACCCATTGTGTTCAAAAACCAATACAGATTGGTGTCAATAAAACTACAATCATGGTATTTCTAGTAATTAATAAACAATGTTATTTTTAACCTATGATATTTTCTTTTTTTTTGCCAGCATATGATAGAAGAGGGGAATAAGGTTTCTGGTCTTTTGCTTCCATTAGTCAGTCTGTTTAAAGTTATGGAGTCAAGTAGTAATGGGTGCCATTAGAGGACTTTTCAGGCCTAGCCTGGGATCCTGGCTCACTGGTCGAAAAGCAGAGCCAGGCGAAATACAACGACATGGTTTCGTCAATTGGATGTTAGAATGATGCATCTTGGGATAGCCTCATTTCTTGACACATGGCGGGAAATATTTATGTTGTCACGAATTTATTGAAAATTATTTTTCATTTCATATGAAATGCAAATTTCGAAAAATTTAGCATACATAATTCAAACGTTATTGATTAACATCGTAAATAAACTGTTAATTAACGATCCGATCGATATATTTCTTGTTTATAGAACATGCACATGCACAGTAATTCAGTCCTGTTCAGCGCTGATAGTTGGTCACATGGATTGTATTATGCCTGGCCCGATCGACGAAATATTAGATTGGGTCAGGTTGCCAGGCTATTTTCAGGTCCTTTTATACTAGTAGCTTAATATGTGGTACAGATTTTGCTCATTAATAAAGGCTGTACAGGGACCGGACCTTAATTTGCTAACTGCTACATCATTAAGTCTCTGGTGCAGAGTTGTCTTATTGGCAATCACACC